CATAGTTTCATTTTTACAGCAGTTGATTTTAAGAGCCATCCTGTTGGTTGGTTGATTTTATTTAGTGGCTTATCAACCTCTATGGGTTATTTAATGCCAAGATGTAAATATTTTGAATACAATCTTATGGCTTCAACTACAGATAAAATGCATTGTTGGTATATAAAAATATATTTCTGGTATTTGTACTATAAAAATGTATTTTTTCTTTTATTTTCATATTGTTTTGTTTGGGGTTCACTATTTGCCTATAACTTGGACCCTAACAGGTGCTACCACCCCAGATATATATATATATATATATATATATATATATATATATATATATTATTCAACCTTTAATCCTTTTGTGTATATGTTGTGATGGGTAAAATGATTTTATTATAATTTTTCTGAAATTACTATTTTCTTTACAAGAATTAGTAGTAACAACCATTTATCTAGTACCTTGTATAAGAGTAAACTATAGATTTCAAATGGTTTCCGACTTGTAAAAATGTGAATTATTGAAGCTTTTCATTGATCACATTTGCCAGGTGTACAGATCTAAAAGCTGAAACTCAAAATATTGCAAAGCTAATCAATATAATTTATAAGACAGACAAAAACAGCACAACAAATGGTGTTGGCAGTCCCTAAAGGCTGTGTTTTCCCAATACCAACCAGCAGCCTGGGAGATTCAATCAATTTGCTCAGGATTACCAGCTGATATTAAGAAACCAAACAGCCACAACTGTAATACTTTATCCTCTAAGTTAAGCAAAAATATTATTTAAAAAAAAAAACAAAAAAACAATAGTCTCACAAATGGGAAACAATTCATAAAACATTGATTTTATAATTCTTTTTTTTTTACATATTTATAGAGAGATCCAAGCAAATGTTATAAAGCGTTAAAAAAAAAATGACAATTTTTTTTTATTGTTGCATTTCTTTCCATTATTCAATTTTCATGAGTATCTTTAAGAAATGCTGATATAACAAATAGATAAATCTACTTATTATCATAATTAATAGAACAATTATAAGCAGATGTAGGTAAATGGAACTTTATCATAACTGATCATGAACATTTCATACAGCAGCCTGTTATAATATTAGTAATATGTTAGTTTTGTGATAAATTATTCTGGTGGCTCAAATCTTAAGGAGATTAGTGTTTGTTGTGACATCAATAGTGTGGATATTAGTACAATAAGCATAACGATACATACCAATAACAAAAAAATAATACTGATAATTTTATCATTTTTAAATAAAGAAAAAGCATTATATAGGAATCATACAATTTTAAACTTTTAAAACTCATAGTATCCATGAGAATTTAAAATAAAATTATTTTCTCCAAGTCAAGACGAAAGTTGAAACGTCAACATTTAACTGAATGAAGATAATTGTTGTCAAAAGGCACATCCATAGAAATCCAGTAGATGACCTAATTTGGGTTGGTTGAGATGAAAGGGCAAGGTGATAGTTCAACCACAGCTGGTAAGGTCGAGAGGTTTAATCACTCCTATTTACCAGCTGAGATTACACAAGCACCTCAAAGTCACAGATGTTACCAGAGTAGTTCGAATGGTGCCAGCAAGGATTTGATCAAAAGAAACTATCAACATACAACAATTTCAGTAAAAAACAAAGTCCCCAAACTCATATTATCTCTTGAGATATTTTTTGCTGTGATTCAAAATAAATCTGCCTTTATTTTCAAATGAAAACATCAATCAATATTTACCCAAACATCAATGTGTGTGTATGTATGTGCAAGAGGGATAGATAGAGAGAAAAACATTTTAGAATCCAAAAAAGAGGATCAGAAAAAAAAAAAAAAATCTAAGAAGAAACATTTATGAAACTCAACTCAAAAAGCTACAGGCCATGCTTTTAATGCAGAAAAGAAATACCATTAGTAAGGAGGAGGGAACAAAAATTCAAAGACCCATTCTCTCAATTTTATGAATTCTGTCTGAAATTCTTTTAGGATGTATAACAATAGAAATAATCTATTTCTAGTTTTATTTATTCAGTTTATTCATTCAATGTAGTGCCACTGACAAATAAAAAGAAGTCAATCAAGTTGCTTGTTTTTCATATTCTTGCTTTATCTTCCATAACATAAATAAGTTGATATTCCTCAGCTGTATTTTTGTGCAATAATCCTACCAAATTGATAACATGATGATCTGTTTGTGATTCCTTATAGAAACAAGCTAAGATAGCCATATATATACAAATATTGAGTTTAGAAAGTTTTTTTAAAAACTTTATGTTGAGCATTCTTTTGGGGAAAAAAAGTTAACTTTTGAGAACAAATAAGAGACACATAATTTGAACTGATAATCAATCTTGTATCTTCTTCAAGTTGATTGGAACAATTCAGTAAATTTACACAAGTTTTTCTCTTTTGCTGAAAACTAAAAGTTGTAAGCTAAAAAACAGATTATTCATTTCTTCCTTGTTTCTATGCCATTTCTTAAATTTCTTATCCTTAGGAAGGTAAGAATTAATCTGATTGATAGATTTGGGTTTACACAGCTTATCAATCTTTTGCAGGTTATTTAAAGCTGGAAAATATTTTTAGATTGTAAGAATTCATTAGGGATGATAACAATTTACTGATACAAGTCCTACTAATTAACTCATACCTGGGGAGAGAAGAGGTGGATTCATACCCTTCCCAAGAGTAATTGTGCATAGGTGAATATAATGAGCCCAACTGGAATTGGAACTCAGCTCTCCAATCTCCAATTCCTTGTCATTATCCATTACACCAGCTGCACATGCAAGGTTACAGCACCTGGTATTCCCAGTCACCCCATCTAGGTACAGACCAGGCTCAACATTGGTGATCACACAAAAATCAGTGTTTCAACATAATATGGCTATAATCCAAGAATTGATTTCTTACTATTACTGAGATTAATGATAATTTTTCTCCCAATTTGTCACCCATTTCGGTATTAACCAGGCTTGACATTGCTTAATTTTCATGATCATACAAGAACTGATGTTTCAACATGATATAGCCATAATCAGAGAATTGATTTCTTACTATTACTACTGAGATTAATGCTAATTTTTCTAAATTGCGAACAACCTTCTATACTGTCATCTTAGAAAAAGAGACAAACTTATGAAAATTAATAGGAAATATTATCTCCAAGATTTTATAAAACAATCTCATATTATAAATAAAATTATGTAGATCAACAATATGTGACTTCAAAAATGCGTTTTTGACATTTGTGAAATTTAATGGAGGAGTTATTTCCTTATATATAAAATGTAGACATTGATTATTTGTTAAAATTAAACAATAAATGATTTTGAAACCTCAAAAAGATATTCCCCAAAGTGCCTAACTTTAGAATTTCATTTAAACAAAGTGACATGAAAGCAAAATTGAAGGATCATTTTAATAGTGAGCATTAATGTTGCACATATTTTTAAATAAAAAAATTGTTTCAAAAAATATTTCTTAAAAGACTTAATTTCTGTCCAAATTAAGAAAAGACTTATACAAAATAAACTAAAAATAAAAAATAGTTATTGGCAAGAAATAAAAAATTTCATGAACCAAATGAAATGCAAATTAAAATAAAAATTATTTTTTTTTACATGAATGTAATATTGAATAATGAAAATTTATTACAATCACAGCAAAATGACATTTTATTAAATATTTATTATATTAAAAAAAAAAAAACACCAAAAATAAAACATTTTTTTTATTTTTACCTTTTTTCCTTTTGGAAAAAAAAATCATCTACTATTAGCCTAAAATAAATGATTGTGCCTTTGCAATTACCAACTGCAACTATCAGTCAGCAATGGTACATGCAATAAGTCTACTAATTTAAAAATTCCTATGATCAAATTTTTAATTAAAAACTTTATGAGAATATGATTAATAAAATTGATAATTCTATGGGAGATCAATATTCTATGCTTTTCTCAAGAAAATAACATTTCAAATGTTGGTTTCAAAATCCATATAAAAACAAATTGCAATTAAGTAAAGTCAGAGAGAGACATTAAAAACTAAATAGAATTGTATAAAACTTACTTTTATCAAGCAATCAATTGGCCCCATTGAATATTTTCTAACACTTATCATTACAGATTATGAATTCAATCGATTAATATTCCACAACAAATTATCAGTCATGAGTTGGAAACATGTTAATAAATGACAATTTTTGCAGTTCTCAATTGTTCAATAGATTTCTACTAAAAGCTTTAAAAAAAAAAAATACAGAAATTTATCAAGTGTTATTCTGCACTTTATATCTTTTCAGCATAAAAAAAAAATAACAATTAAGGCCTTAGCCACATTTAGAAAAAAAAAAAAAAAAAACATGGCTTCATTTATGGTCAATGATACAAGTGAAAAATTTGCCAACGGCTTAGGGATAGATTATCCGACTGATGCCAATTCAACCTGGTTTTGATCCTAGATAGAGGTAACCAGATGTCTAGCCACACTGATGAGTTTTGATACAGCGAAACAGTCTGTTTTGGATGGATATATATATATATATATATATATATATATATATATATATATATATATTTATGGTTACTATTTTCCTTTGACCAAAGATGCATTAATAATACTTAAGTTGCACATGCATGTATGATTAATTACAGAAACAGTGAAGATGTAAGTACAGAAGGAAGATGCAACTTTGTTTAGTAAAAAATGAGTCTCCATTGTCAGCTCTTGTCTCCCTTGAAAAAGAAAAGTAATTCTTTGGCTGAAAGGTAGCAAATATTAAACATCATCAAACACGACTAAAAATTCTTTAGTGAAGAATATAAAAAATGTAACACAGAAGAGTTTCATGCAAATTTCCATCAACATTTTTCTTTCTTCTTAAAATGGAATATTATATGAATAACAATATTAAAAATAATAGCAAATAAATTATAAGAAAGCATATCAATTATTTGCCAATAGTAATAATAATAATAATAATATCCTCAATTGAGTGTATTACCTTCAGCTTTTAATTGCTGGATTATATTTTCCTTGAAATCAATTTGCTCACTCAGCCTTTCTGCAGCTAAGAGGCCCTCTTCAGTATCCAGAAGTTTTTCCTGAAATTTAACTCATATTAAAGCAACCTATAGGCAATATAAAACAGGTTGGAGTAAATATCAGAAACAATTATGTATTTATTCTCAAAATAAACATCTTTACAATTACAGTAACATACTCAAACTGACAAGGTTAAAAAAACAAAACCATGTTTTAATAAAAGGTATTAAAAAAATGGTTGAAGTTTAGTAACAAAAATATTTAGAGAGCATGCAATACTAACAATAATATATTTTAGTTTAATTTCTTTGCACATATCCATATGCCCTTTTACATAACTAATGTTAAAAAAAGATTAAAAAATATAGCCAAAGTTTGATTTAAAATTCTGGGTGTAGAGAATTTGATTTGAGTTCATGTTCGAAACTGACACTGACCTTTATATCAAAAAATCCTTTTGTTCATTCCAATCAAAGTAGGAATGACTGCAAAAACGTACCCCTCCCCAAATTTATAGACAAACAGTACAGATGCATGCTGGGGTTTCTTCCTAGTCATAAGCTAGACTGCTTCTTGGTCTCATCTGCCATATTTTTGTTCTTTCTTTTTTTGAAGTCAGAATGCTGCAATCACTTGTCTATATCTCTGTTGTGTGTTAACACCATTATTACTTTGTAAATGTTTTGCCTTATTACTGTTACTTTGCCTACTTTTGTGTTATATATATATATATATATATATATATATAATGAAATGTATTAAGTCTGATAATTATTTAATATATTTTCTGTTTATACAATTTATTTAAGTAAATGCTCTGTTTTTTAATTAAACAGTATTAATTACATTCAGCAGCCCAAATGGTCAAGAAATTTTGTAGAAAATATGTGTTCTCCAACATGAATTGAATCTGTGTCCTATACAGAACTGTCATTTGATCTGACATGCTACACCACTTAGCTATAGGGAAGCATTTGGTTAGCAAAGTCCAAAGTCCTGTGTTTTTTAAACAACAAATCTTCAACGATTTTTCCCAAGACGATATCTGCTCACAAAATATATCTTAATGCAAACAATATATAGGCCTGTGTTTTTAATATAAAAAAAAAAAATATATATATATATATATATATATATATATATATATATATATATATATAGGCCGTTTTGTCCTTTTTAAGACTCATCAGTAATAGTGTATCCATTGCTGAGAATCAAATCCCGACCGTTACGTTATAATGCAAGCATCATTCCACTGAGACAGCGGGCTTCGGTGATGAAGAGGAAACTAACTAGACTCAATATAGCACAGCTACTCCTAATTTATATTGTGTCTAGTTAGTTCTTTTGAGAACCAAGTAAGATAATTTTCATAATTCAAAATTTTAATATTTCATAATACCTGACATTGTTACAAAAAAAAAAAAAAAATCCATGAAAATATTTTAACAAATTTTATGCAGGAATAAGGAATCTAACAATATTTTTTTACAGTTCACCAGATTGAAGGCTAATGATATTTCCTAAGCAGAATGTCTTCAACCTAATTTTTGATGGGGTCCATTTTATTATTATTTTAGTTTCTTTTGCAAGCATCTTCAATCAATATTTAATACTTGCATTCTCTTATTTCTTTCTGCATTTCATTTTTAAAGTTATTTTCCTTCATAATATGAAACATGAAATTATGTGTAAAATGGTGTAAGAAAACAAAATCTTTGGTTATGCACTTACCTTAGTGATTTCCAATTCTGACTGGATGTCTTCAATAATTTTATTTAGTCGCTTTTGTTCAGCTTCATTTTTTTCTTTTTCAGCAGTCATCTGAGTCTCTTTCTCTAGAACAACAAAAAAAAACAGTTTTACACACTGTAAGATACATTTTTTGATGATAAACAGTGTCAATCTTTGTTGTTCCCACTTTTTTTTTTTTTAATCATTTCATCCCAAGCAAAGCAATAAAGCCACTAAGTCCCACCCAAGGGGTTACTGAGTGTGAGAGAAAAAGAAAGCATTATTAAAGAGAGAGAACAATGAAGAACAGGATTTAAGAAGAGAGAAGATAACAATTGACATTTCATTTAAATTTTCAAAGATCAAAATTGACTAGAAAGCAAGAAACAATTTTTAAAAGCAATATCAATTGTAAGAAAACAGAAAGTATGTTGGTCAGCAAAAGGAATGTCTCAAGATGCAAATTAAAGATACCAAAATCAAGCAAGTACAAAAATTTAAATATCTGGTAAGTGTTTTAACAGAGTATAGAAAATGTGAGACCAAAACACAAAGGTGTATTGCGAAAGATGCCTTCCAAAAGCTGGGCAAAGTATTAAGAAACAGGAAAATTTGTTAGAAACAAAGAAAAGAGTACTGAACTGTTATATATAGCAGTGAATGCTGAACTATCTCCTCAAAGATGAAGAGGAGATTTGGAGCAACAGAAATTAGATTCTACAGAAGGATGGATCAAAAATGTGAGAACGGCAAAGTTTTAGAGAAAATGGGAACAAAAGAACATCAGAAAGAAACAGTTGAAATTTCTAGGCCACATAATGAGGAAAGAGGGCTTAGAAAATTTTACACTCACAGGACACATCAAAGGCAAGAGGGACAGAGGAAAACACTGCATAATCTACCTAATGAGCTTATGCGAATGGTTAGCAGAACAGGATTTAAGAGAGATAGCCCCCCCACCAAAAAAAACTTTACTAAGAGCTACAAAGGACAGGAAATTGTGAAGAGCCATGATTGCTCACCTACTGAATGAACACAGCAGATAGAGGAAGATATTTTTAATATTTTTAGGCAATAGAATGCACAATTTTAATCTGGAAAAACTTTGATTAAGATCTTAACAAGATTCTCTGAAGGCACATAGAAGAATTTATTTTTAATATTTTTAGGCAATACAATGCACTTTTAGGATCCAGAAATGCTAAGATCAAGAACTTTTTAACAAATATAACTGAAATCAAAAACCTTTTCTTGAGAAATAAGTGCTGTTATTTCAAAACTTGATTACTGATTTATTTCCCTGCTGAAAAAGATGCTAATAAAAACAACAATGTAAAATAATAAAATCTTTTCCAAGTAGCAAACTGATAGCTGATCAAATGTTATCTGTTTGTGTTTAATAGATTTCTCTTAAAAGCTTAAAAAAAAAAAAAAAAAAAAAACTATTCTGCACATTATATCTTTTCAGCATCAAAAAACCCAAACACTGCAATAAAGCCACTAAGATACAAAGGGTTACTGAGTGTGAGAGAATATGAGAAAAAGAAAACACTATTAAAGAGAGAGAGAGAGAGAACATTAAAAGAATAGGAAATTATTACATATGTTTGCATCTAGCTAGTTCCGCATTGACCTGACTGCCAATCTAGAAGCAAGCTTAAATTCATGCAGTCGAGACACTAAGGGGAACAGCTCATCAGAACAATTGCCATGAAAAATATTTGTAGAAAAGGTAGTGGGAAGCCACATTATATTGGTGATAAAGTGACTGAAGTTGAGATGCTAGGTCAGGATTGATTACAGACCCTTCTTTGAATTCTTTAAAGGAATGATCCAAGTGGAATTTTCATATCATGTGGAATACTTGTAAAAAGTTATTTCAATTTCAAACATGCAATTTGAACATTTTTATGGATGGGGACTCAAAAGGTTTACTGAAAAAAAAAAAAAAAAAAAAAAAGAAAGAATAACCAGTTCATTTTTCCACATTTAGAAATTAAAGTAATCCTATATTATTGTTTACAAAATACTAATAAAAAAAGCAGCATTCTGTATTTTGGCAGTTCCTTTTCACTCTTAATTCTCCTAGAGTGATTTTTTTTTTTTTTTTTTTACAACTTATCAACTCCTTTATGGGTTATCTAAAGCCAAAATATAGTTCAAATTGTAGGAGGTTGCTTACAGTACCAGGTGTTACCAAATGATCCCCCCCCATCAAGTACTGACCATAATTCTCTGAGAAACCATTGAAAGGTTAATCCAATTTTACAGATAATCAATATCAAGAAATGTGAACAGTAATCACAATTTAAAATTTCTTAGGAAACATTAAACTTTCAGTCATTTTAAGTTTTTGACAAAGCGTTTATTCTGAAACCTTGTACAGTAAGCAATATATATCATAAAAGTGACTGACTTACCAGCTTGAAATTGTTCCAAGACAATCTGAAGATTCATAAGTGAAGTGGCATATTGCTTACATTGTTCCTGTAAAGTGCCAAGCTGAAGATAAGCGTTGTCTCTCTGAGAAGCTATCACATGTAACTGTTGATTCAAATTTTCTACCTGATAATTGGTTTCTTGGCTAAAGGCAAAAACAAAATGAATACAATGAAATGATCCACATTAAAATAATTCAAAGCTCAAATATTTAAGAAACAAAAAATAAAAAAAAGATTTGATGAGATTAACTATCAAATAATTGATTAATAATGAGCAATAATTGCTTCAGTGATGAGCAAGCAAACTACTGGAGTATGTATCTTCTACTTTGTAAATGTCATCTTTGATGACTGGGTCATAAATGACATTTATATACCAAAAGACATCTTGAATGGTGAGCTGGCTACAGGACACCATCCAGTAGGCTTCTCCACACTACATTTCAAGGACGTTTGCAAGTGGGACCTGAAATGCATAAGCACTGACTCTGGTAGGTGGAAACAGCTAGCATATAATCACAGCAGCTGACGTCTTGCTGCCCAAGGAATCACAAAGGCAGGAAAAAAGGCGAAAATTGCTGTAGATAAGAAGACAACCAAGGAAGCAATGTAAGACCTTCATTCCACATTCTAGTTTTGTCTGTTAGAACTGCAGAAGAGAGTGCCATGCAAAAATTGGTCTGTTAAACCATTCCAAACACTGTTACACAAAATGTGTAATAACCAAAGACAGTACTCTTATTAACGTGCAAGATAAATGGACTACTACTACTATATGATGATTTTAAGCAATTTCTTTGATTTTTCATCATATATTTATTAATAGCCAAGAAAACAAATAGAAGGGAAAGAAAAGGAGCTTGAATTATATATATATATATATATATATATATATATATATATATATATATATATATATATATATATATACATACATACATTGCTTATACAGGGTTTACCCAAGAAATGTACTCACTCTTTAAATGGCAATAAATGCAGTGTTTATTGACTTACAAACAAGATGAATGGTTAAAATTAAGAAATATTAATGTTTATTGACTTACAAAGACTAATAGTTTAAATTAAATATTAAATGAAATTAAATGCATGGATCTCAAAAAAATAAAAAAAGAAGAAATTCAAGAAATTATAGGAAATAAAGTTAGTACATCTTTTGGGGGCCACCCTGTAGATTAAATTTTAACTCATTTCCTATAAATCATTAGGGTCAGTGGAAGATAGAGTGACTCACATGAACTAATAGACAGCTTTGAACAAACCTACCTGTCTTCAAAAAGTCTACAAAACTGCCCTTGATGAAAAATATTGATCCAAATTTTATTTCAAAATTTTATTCAAGTATAAAGCTGAATGATAAGAAGAATGTTCAATGTATTAAAAGGAAAACGAATAGTGACATATTTGACATTTGTGTAGAACTTATAGCTACAGATCAATGATAGAGAATTTTTAATGAGAACAGAATAATTATTCATTAATCAACTTTTCTTTGTGATTTTTGAATTACCATATTTGACAGCATATAAGACACATGGGTGTATAAGATGCACTGCAATTTCAGCAGGACAAATCAAGAAAAAATTAGTAATTAGTAAAATTAGTAAACCTACATATGGCATATAAGACGCAGGGGAATTTAGACATTTTTAGTAAAAAAAAAAAAAAAAAGAAAAGTGTGCCTTATAGGCACATTGTTCCACTAGTGGAACATATTTTAAGATGATTTCTTTTTTGATACCAAATGAGCATTAATTTTCATTATTTTTATTGCTAATATACACGGGAAAGTCTAAAATAAAATATGTTTTTACACATCGTGTTAAAATTCAATTTATAACCTATCAATTTATATTGAACTTCGTCAAATTTTGCAACCATAAAAGGTAAATGTGATATGCAAAATGACCTGCACAGCCTTATTCACATAAGATACAAGGGAGACAACCTATTACAAATTATGTGTCAACGAACAAACAATAGTTCAACCGAAGATGGAGCTGAAAGTTTTTCTTTAGAACAAAAATTTACAAAGTATAAAAGAAATTTAAGAATTTATTTATTTCAAACTTTATCAAAATTTAACCAAATACTTTATGATTACAAGCAAACAAAACATAAAAACTTTTAGCCAAAATAAATTCAATAAACTTTATAAAAATTCTTACCTTGCAGTTTCCACAGCAGCCGTTGCAGTGAAAGCTTTTTCTTCTGCTGCTGCAAGTTTATTACGCAAATCTTTTTCACGTTCCTCTGATTCTAAGGCTTCTTTGGTGTATCCTTCTTCAATCTAATAAAAATAATTACTAGAATATTAAACTTAAGAAGAAAAAAATTAAAATAGTTTTAAACTTGATATGAACAGATATTTAATTACACATTAAATAAAAGGTACTTCTAGGAAAATAATGATAAACGATACATGACAAAAAAAAACTTGAATAAAAGTTAATTTTATGGCCATAAGTTTTTTATTCCAATAAGAAAGATGGATACAGTTTTTATATAAATATTATTTGTATCCACAATATGGATATTTGTGTTTGAAAAGATGTTTAAACTATATAGAACTAAATGAAATCATAATTTACATGAGAAAATTTTTAGGTAGAAAATATAAACATTTAAAAAAATCTACCAATAACTTACTAATTATTTGATTTCAATAGATTTTTCAATATTTATTCATTTATTAATAACTTTTTTATGAAAGGCCATCTTATAAGAAAAGTTTGTTGGAATAATTAAGTCAACCAAGTCCTCGTTATATAATTTTAGAAAATCTTAATAAAATATCTTGTAAGAAAAGTTTGTGGGAATAATTAAGTCAACCAAGCCCTCGTTATATAATTTTAGGAAATCTTAATAAAATATCTTCTGAATTCTAAAATATTTTTTTTACTTTATGCTATTTTCTTGAATTTAAAATCAGAATTAAAAATTAATAAATTTTTAAATTTTAAATTTAAAAAAATGTAGAGCTACCTACTAGAAAATATCAATAATAACACCACTTTCAACATTTTATCCAGTTTCTTTTCATTCTCAGAAAATTAAGAAATATTGATTAAGGTTTACATGAAATTAATATTAAGAAATATGATTAATCATAATTTAGGCTTTTATTAGATTTCACTAAAAGGAACAATAAGCAATTTAGTTTCCTGTTTTGAAATATTTCCAGTTTTCATTTTTTATAGCTTCAAAACAATTTTAAGAAAATTACTTCTCTGTTTATTACTTAAATTTCAATGAAGCAAAATTATGAAATGTTAAAATCTATAAGTGTAGCTTTATTTTGATTAACTTACAATTAAAAACAAAAAAGCTGACTTAATTAAAAAATTTCAAATTACTACAAAACCAAATATCAAAGGCAGCCTTACTCTTAAACTTGATTTATCTTTCTAAAATAGTACAAGAGATGATATGACAAGTCTAAAACAAAGATTATCTTAGAAACTTTTTTTTAAAATCTTTTCACCCCAAGCAAAGTGAGAAAGCCATTAAAACACAAAGGGTTACTGAGTGTGAAAGAATCTGAGAAAAGAACAAACATTATTAAGAATTAAGAGGATAATAAAGGAACATGAATTAGAGAGATAGATGATAACTTTTCAAATTATCCTTTTGCTTGAGAATTAAAGGTAATCATCAGTGGGAAATAGTCATTTTTTCCTGCATTAAGCTTTCCGCTTGTATCATATAGTAGAGGATAAGAAAAAGAATACAATAACAACTAAGTATAACAAGCTGTATTATATGAAACAGAGTTTAAAAAAAAAACATAGAAATACAAAGAAAATGAACATTTTCATAGGACATTCTAGCTTTTAAAAGAAAAAAAAAAAAAAAAAAAAAAAAAAAAAAAAAAAAGCTCTGAATTTTACAATCTATGTACAAGAAAGGTTCTGCCAAAAGAATACTCCCAAAATGTTTAAGGCAAACAATAAAAATATTTTTTTCTCACATGCAAACAGAATTCAATAGAAAACATAAAAATACAAATCATCAATATCTATTAACTGCACATTTATTAATGGAAATATTTCATATCATTTCTGGCAGTCATCCAAACTTTTACTGTTACATTGAAAACAAAAATACAATTGTAATTATTCACCAATGAAGAAATGTTAATGATCATTTAAGGATCTAGACAAGAACAAAAAATGAATGCTCCCTCTATAAAAACTTTTATTGATCAGAGTTTAATAAAAACATACACATGAATTTAATATTAAACTTTATAAACTTAATTTATATAGCATTGATTTAACATTGTTTTTATTTATAATTATTTTAAAATTTAAACAGATAATATAAAATAATCCAGATGAAATTAAAGTCATGAGTTCAAGTATAGAATACTTGATAAAATGAATAATTGATCAATTGATTTGTTTTTTACAACTGAAGAACCCTTTGTGGGTCATTCTAAGCTGAAACATATTTTGGACTGTAATAATTTTTTTTTTTTCCTTTTGTGAGTGAATATTGCATTAACAGTTTTATGGGAGATAATAATTTTTCTACATACAAGTCCTACTATTTAACCCATAGAGATTGACCTATACCTTTCTCAAGAGTATTTTTTTGTAAATATGAAAAAGAAGAATTTACAAGCAATAACGCTAAAAGGGCTGAAATATGTTGATATTTTTATAAAAGTTATCAAAGACTTAAACAGAGAACAACATTTCTACTTTGACATATCACTGACTTTAAGAAATTATTTCTTTTTTTTAATCCTATCTTTTTTTGTATAAAGACAAACTTAATTTAATTTAATATTTAAACCCATGTGGAGATGAAAAAAAAATGTGATGAGAAAAATTGTTACCTGCAAAAGATGCATTCGTAATCTTTCAAGTTCTCTTGTTTGTTTTACATCTTTTTCTCTCAACTTATGCAACTACAAAAACAAAAAGATTAAGCAGTTGGCCAAGTTGGAATCAGAATAAATAAAAGCAAATTTTATAATCTGTAATAATGGAAGAATTAAAAAATCATTTAAATCAAATAATTTTTTTAAAAATGAGAACCAAAATTATTCTGGTCTTTTTCATTTAAATTAACAAAAGACAAAAAAAATAACATACTCCCTCTCCCTCTGTCTATATTTCTGAGATGAGGTATTGTAACTATTTACATTGTTTGGACTGTTGTCCTCTTATTTATAGACATATTCATGATATTTCAGCCATTGTACATTCTAGCCTTCTTCAGGTGATATATGTTGCAATTTCGAACCAAACCATTTATTTCATCCACCAGCGTAGACTGTTCTACTTCCACATGCCATGCCTTTTCTGGATATCTCAGTTTCATTTATTTCCATCAACTCTTAAGTTTTTGTTCACCTTAGCGTTGGTTAAAGTAAATCAGTGTCTTGGCCACAACAGAGGTGAACAAAAACTTAGAGAGTTGAGTTACTAAAGGGAAATAACTGAAACTAAGACATCCAGAAAAGGCATGGCATGTGGAACTAGAACATCTACCCCAGTGGATGAAATAAAGGAGTTCAAAGTAAATAGGAGCACCGGTTCTAAATTCCAATGTATATGACCTGAAGAAGGCCAAAGCATACAAGAGGCAATATTGTGAATATGATAATAAAGATGAGAACAACAGTTCAAACAATGTAAATAGTGTAAATAATACTCCCTCTGCTCACCATCTACACACACAATTCAATGATAATTCAGGAAAAAAAATTGTTACATCAATCAACGCAATTTTGGATATTGGTATATTCAGGATCCTAAAGCTCCTGATATTATGTCCCATAAGTTCTAAATTAAAAGAGAAATTTTTTTTCTGGATTATGTTCAATCTGCTGATATTTATTTTCCTCTGAGCAGATTATTAACAACTCTTAACTCTTTATCAAAATTTGTCATATTTTGATGTGAAGTTTGTGTCCAATTTTCATTGTTTTTAATTTTCTAATCAGGCACAAACTTTTGTAATGATCTAATAATTTAAAGTATTAAATATAAAATGAATAGCGGCCACATGAGATAAACAGAATAACATTTGATTGAATGATTTGTTTTTTTACAGTTTATCAACCTTTTGCAGATTATTTAAAGCCAGAAAATATTTTTTAGATAAGAATTTTTTGGAAATAATAATAATTTACTGATACAAGTCCTACAAGGGTATTTGTGCATACATGAATATAATGAACCCAACAGGAATTGGAACTCAGTTCTCTGATTTTCAATTCCGAGCCATTATCCATTACATCACCCACACATCCAAGCTTACAGCACCTGGTATTCCCAAGCAGTCACTCATCTAGGTACTGACCAGGTACTTAACTTTGGTGATTGTATGAGAACCAGTGTTTCAACATTATATGGCCATAAACCCAGTTACATTTGTTGTTAATTTAAGCAAATTTTTAAAACGTTATCTAACAAGATAACAAGAATTGTTTAAAGTTATCTAACAATTTAAAACTTGACATCATTGTAAGCAGATATATTTAAAAAATAAATAAATGGATACTGCATATACTCGTGTATAATCAGGCACCTCAGCATGGTGTAATGGTTAGCAAGTTTGTCTCACTAAAACAGTTATGACTGAATAATGCATTCGATCCTCAATGGGTGCCCCATACTTTCGACTTGTGCATAGAAAATCAATATACTCATGTTAAACCTATTTCATGTATAGTGTAACCTTTGAATTTTCTGGCATCAATGTACAGTGCAATAAGTCACCAAAAATACATGATTTTTAACTTCTTGAAAAAAATTACCTGTGTATAATACAACCCCCTATTCTTTTTGTAAAAAAAAAAAAAAAAATGATCATAAAAAAACCTGCATTATACTCAAGTATATATGGTAGTATCAACTAGAAATGATAATATTTAAAATTTACCTGTGCATAGTGCATGTGAAAATGCAGGATTTTTAACCTCTTCAAGAAAATTACCTGTGTGCAAGCCCCTAAAAAAACTGATCACAAAAACTCACACTATAATTAATTATATATGATACTTGAAAAATGTAATTTCTTGAAAAATGAATAAGGGTTACCTATGTTTATTTTATTTTCTGCTCTTTGACTGATTCAACAAGACTTAAATCAATATATGCCTCTATTTGTTTTGCTGTTTTTAATCCATCCATATATATTGATAAAAACAAGTTGATTGCTCCATAATCAAATTCAATTAAAATAAGTTTTGATTGAATTATCCTCAAAATATGTTTGAGTCAAATGTCTTACCTCTTTCATCATTTCTTCTTTTTCAGCTTGAACCTGTTTAAGAGAAAGAATAATTTGGTCCCTTTCTTGTTGAAACTGTAAGGCTTGCTGACGGATAACTTCTGATTCCTTAATCAATACATCAATCTGACTTTCTTTCCCTTGTTGCTTCTGCAGCAACGCAGTCATCGTGTTGGCCTTTTCAGTCATATTTCTCAATTCGAATTCTTTTTGCTGCAGAGTTAAACTGAGCTTGTTGTTTATTTCTTTAAGTGTGGAGTTCTCCAGAGTCTGTTCAGAACTCTGTTGCTTTGACGATGCCATTTCCGTCTGAGAATCATTCAGTTTCGCATTCAATTCGCTTAACTGGAATAGAAGACTATCAACCTGTTTCCTTGCATTGTTCTTTTCAATTTCCATTTCCCTTAAGTTATTTTCCAGTTCACTATGTTTCTGCATAAGACTTTGTGACTTTTGTTCTTGTTCTGTTAGATTGTTTTGTAGTTTTGATAGCCTTTCATTGAGTGTATTGGCCTCTTCTACTTTGCTATTATAAGAAATTAAGTCAATAACTTCACTAGCATTGCTTTTTTGAAACAACTCTTCATATTTTATTTCCATCTCTGAGTATTTCTGTTTATAGTTCACAAGTTCATTTTGTGTTTTAATAAGCAGTTGATTTTTATCTTCAAATAAAGGCATTAGTTTCTCGTGCTCTTGCTTAAGCTTGTCAAATTTTTCTGCTTCATTTTTTATATAGGCATTCAACCGCTGAATTTCACCATGATAAGCCACACTTTCTTGATGTTTCTGATTCAGATAACTTCCAATTTGGTCTCGTTCTGCCTGCAGTAGCGACAACTCCTTTTTAAAATTTTCCTTTTCTTGTATGAGAGAATTGATTTGGGGACCATTTTGAGAACTGTCTTGAAATATTGCTAGCAGGGTTTCGTTCTTTTGCTTTAAAGCATCAATCTCGACATCTTTGTCTCGGATGATGTTGGACAGTTTTTGTAAAGCTTCTTTCTGCATACTGTTGGCATCAGTCGAATCTTCTGAGACAGAAGTATTGCTCTTCAACTGCAGTAGCTGTTGATTTTGAATCTGAAGCCGATCAAGTGCATTCCTCTCCTCTGAAATAATAGCCATCAGTCGATGAACTTCTGCCTTCAGTGTACTACATTCTCTGGTTTTATCTTCCATCACAGCAATCATCTGTTCCTTTTCGAGCTTCAAATTCTTTACATCCTTTGCCAGTTGGTGTAACTCTAAAAGACTTTTGTCTCCATAAATGGAAACAGATTTGTTTTCAATCATGTTTAACAACATGGAATTATTGTTCTGTAATTCTTGAATAATTTTATCTTTCTCTACAACAATATGTTGCAACTGTTCCATATCTTCAGAATGTTCATTGCTGCAATCATTTTCCATGAAATCATCCTGGACATTGTTATCTTCGTAGCCATGTGCAGCAGATGAAATTCTTTTATCCTTGTAACACTTTGAAGACTCGGGGTCTCGAATATATTCGTCATTTTTTTCTTCGTCAAAATCATCTTGGCTTTTATTATCTATAACTTCATCATCAAACTCTTCCTCTTGCAACTGCTTTAAATATTTGACCACTTGACTATCTAAATTCTTAACTTTTTCAATCTCAAGAGCATAAGCAATTTCTTGCAACATATTCTTAAAATATGAAATTCTTTTTTGGCCCTGAACAACTTCAGCTTCAAGTAAAGAAATTCTATCATTTTGCTCACTAGAAAGGTCTTCATTATCAAAATGAGTTTCTGAATTTTCATTTGGAGATAATGGCGAGGTCTGCTGTAAATGATTAATGGTTTGTTGTAAAGATTCAATTTTATTTTTTGCCGAAACTAATTCAGTTTCCAAGTCTGTTATTAAACCTAATGTTTTTGACTGAGAACTTTGACTTTCTTTACAATCCTGATCTGCTTGCATAGACACCAAAACTTCCATTTCCTTCCTAAGTTCTGCATTTGTTTGTTTAGAAACAATTAACTGTCCTTCAAGATCATCAATCTTGTTTAAAGTAACAGCATATTGTTCCTCTACTTCCAAATTGTTAGTTCTTTCCTTTTGCAGAACAGAAATTTCAGATTTTAAATCCTCAACTTCTTTCTCTCTCTCATTCAACAGGTTCATTAAATCACATTCACTATCAAATTTACAACCTTTTTTACTCACTTTCAACTTACTTTTCAAAGTTTGTACACAAGTTTCTAATTCTTTTATCTGCATTTCTGCATCTTCAGAAATCCGTATCTTCTTACTTTTATTTATGTAGTCCATAAAAACTTTCTCAATTTCACTAATATATTCAAATAATGTATTTTTATCAGATATAAGATTTTCTATCTCATATTGCAAATCATCTTCAGTTTCATCAGCAGACACTGATTGATGACTTTTGTAAGCCTTTTCGGAAGCTTCATATTTTTCACTAAGGGCTGAGTATTTGTTATTCAGTGCAGAATTTTCTCCCCTAAGTTCATCAAGTTCTTTTTCTAATTTCAAACATCTATTTTTCTGATCTTCAATTTCTCTATCATCTTTCTTCTTTGTTTCAATATGCTGATTTAAATGCCCAGTTAACTGATCTATCTTCTCAGTTAAATTCTTGTGTTGAACTTCTAATTCTTCAGAATTTTTAGACTTTATTTCAGATGTAAGTTCATGTAATTGTTCTTTTAGATGACTATTTTGCTTGGTCAATTCCTCAGTCCGTGATTTTAATTGGTCCATTTTTTCAGTCATCTCCGTCTTATCCATGTGTAATTCATTGACAACATAAGCACCTTTTTGCAGTTTCTCTTTTAAATCTTCTATCACATTATTCATGTATTTCTTTGACTCTGAAAGATCATTGATCTCTTTTGAATAAGCCTTTTCAGCGTCTTCTTTCTGTTTGGAAAAATCTTCATTTGCTGTGTTCAAAGCCATCTTTAAGGATTCTAACTCTTTGGTAAGTTGCTCAGTTTCATCTGTTTTGTCTTTGACTTTTTTGTTGAGCTCATTCCGAATTTCAATTAACTGAATGTCAACTTCCTGGTGTTGTGCATCCAATTCTTCAAGGCTGTTTTGGACATCCAATTTCTCGACAGTCAATCTTTCAATTTCAGTTTCTTTTTCTCCAAGTAAAGTTTCAGTTTCCTTTAACTTTTCTTTTAGCATCTCTGAATAATAAAACAGAAAAATAATATATGTAAGAATTTTGACATTTTTTTTTTAAATCCCAAATTAAGAATTTTAAAGCAATAGTTGTTATCTTAAATAGAAAAGAAAGAAACAATACTCAGAGAAAAAGCAAGCAAAGAAAGAACTTAAATTTCCAAGACATTTTTATTCAAAATGGGGTGAAAAAAAAGAAGAGTTTTGAATGAAAACTGAAAAACAAATAAAACTACTATTAGTAAAAGTAGCAGAAATGAAATTCCTTCAGATTCTCAGCCTCAACCGAAGAAAGACAACTCAACACTTGATTCATAAAAAAATTATATTACAGTTTAACTTAACACGAGATAACATCAATATTTTTCTAGATAATTTGCTGAAGTCATGTAAGAAAATTTTAACATTGTAAATATAATGTAATCTATACAAATGAAGCCAATCAATGATGAAGAATTAGATTCCACAAAAAAATATAAGACATGACAAAAAAAACTATTTCAAGTGAAATAATGAAGACAAAATCTATAAATGTACCTCATTTTACAAACTTACTACATGTCATATAAACTATTTAAAATTAAGTAAGGATGAATTGTTATGATTTTCCCCAAGTACCATAGGCTTAATTTATATGTAGAACTATTTTAATGCATTAAAAAATTTCTTCACAATATATCTACACAATGTAACAGACACAAGGGAACTGATAATTTTACAAAATTAATTTAAGTTGAAATACCAATCTAAATCAGCTTTCATAAATAGCTAAGATTAAATTACAAAATATAGTCTCAAAGTAAACTTCAGATTTGAAAGCCAATCAAAGATCAACATTGTTTTGTGTAAGCAATTTGAATGGCAAATACAATTTGTTTTTATTACTAGCAATGGCCTTCATGCCAAATGCTTTGCTAGGGTGAATACAGAAACGAACAAAGTAAGACAGATTGAATAGAAAAGGCTAAAGGTTGATATTTGCATCATTTTCCTACAAGTACATCATGATTAAACATTACATATTCTCATCTTTTGATGAGAGTTTAATTAAAAGAAACACTGTAATAACTGATTGGAAATGTTGCAGCTACTGCCAGTGATACTTTATAAAATAGTGATTATAAATTTCAAGAAGCCATGTAGCTCTTGCTAAATTTTTTTCTTCTCCTTAAAATAAAAAAAAATCTCAATGTAAGACATGGAACATGTCCTACAATTTAGCACATTGCAATTGTCTTAAAGAGCTTTAATGATGACATTGCTTTGTTTTTTTCATCACTGAAACAAATGTTTTATTGCAATTTAAAAACCATGCAATAAAGAAAACATTGTATCAAGTAACAAAAGAAAGAAATAATTTAAATGCTTATGAATAAGGTAATATATTTTTTATATTAAAATAAGCATAGAATAATGTTGAATGATAAAAATGTATCAATTCCTTTACACAAAGGTTTTACCATAATGTCAAGCTCATATCATCTTGGCATCAGTTTAAACTGAAACCTCCTTTTTCCTATATATTGTATTTGGTTTATTTTGTTTTACGGTATATCAACTTCAATGGATTATTCAATGCTGACAAAATTTTTAGGATAGGTTTGTATGAATAGAATATGTATTCTTGTAAGAAATCAGTTTATAAATCAGGTTTCATTGACATATTTTTGTAGAGGTTTTTTGTCAAGAGTCAAATGTATTGCTGGTAATATTTTTTTTTTTTTGGTAAATTTTACAAGAAAAATCTGTTTTTATACTTTCATAGTGTTTTGACCGCAGTTTGGGGGTTAACTATTTGCCCATAGCTGAGACCCTAACAGGTGCTACCACTGTAAAAAGGAGACATCAGTTGGAACAAGTGGTTCCAAAACTTTTTTTTCTCTGGGCCGCATTTTTGGAATGAAAATTTGCTTGTGCCTCACCAAATTTTATGTGATAGAAAGTATATTTAAAAATAAAATACAGAGACGGTTAAGGGGAGATAACCGTGGATTCAAAGTAGAAAACATTATCTTTGCTAACTCTCTGCTCCAATTAGCGGAGCCTAGTTAGTATATTTTTAATATTTGATATAATGCAAAAATAAAACAATGATAAAATTGGTCAATAATTATTTCTAACTATTTATATTGGGACTCATGCATGCAATTACAAGGAATCCATAATAATATTTTAAATTTTAAAATCATATTTATTTTTGGCATATGAATTTTTTAAAATTGTTTCTAAATCTTTGATTGTCATTCAATCACTCAACTTCACCTGCTATACTCTTCTGCTGCACATACAAGGCACACCACATCATTTGGGTACCACTGGTTTAAACTAACACCAAGAGTTATGAGTTAGGAATAGACAAGATAAATGATTCATATATTTTTTTAGACTCCTATTTAAATATCTAGTGCCACTGCTTTTTAGAGAATCTAAGCTTCAGTTAATTTTAGGCAAGGAAATACATTTAGTATTCAATTCGTGGGATTAACAACATGTTAGAATAAAAATCTGTTTATATTTCTGAGATGTGGTATTGTAATTATTTACATTGTTCTGACTATTGTGCACATCTTTATTGGCATATTCACAATGTTTTGGCAGTTGTACACTGAATCCTTCTTCAAGGATATATGGCCCAGTAGATAAAAGCATTAGTTGGATCTAGTGACTTGACCCAAAAAGTTGTGAGTTTAATACTTGGCTACTGCAGTGGTGAACAAAAATTTGGAGTGTTGAGTTAAAGGAAGAATACCGAGATATCTGGAAGAGGCATGGTATGTGAAACTAGAACACTCTACACCAGTTGATGAAATAAAGGGTTCAGTTTGAAATTCCAAAAAGAAGATCAGAGCATACAACGGCCAAAACATCATGAATATGGCAATAAAGATGAAGAAAACTGTCTAAATAATGTTAGCATAAAATATTTTGCAAATAATACCATTAAGATAAAGCAGCTGATTCAAATATATACCTATGGTAATTTTTAACTTTGTATAGAGTCCTGAGATTTTCTTTGAAATCAAAGCATAAGCTTATAAGGATTTTTAGTATTAACCTACAGTAGATCAGTTAATATGTTTTTATATTTTAAAAAAAGACATTAAAAATCTTTCTTTTTTCAAACTGAACATCACAAGGCTTCAGAGAGAAATAAAATACTATATTGGACTTTGTGAAAAAGTATTTCTCTTGGAAAATATACAACAATTTGCATTAATATAGACCAAAAAGGTAAGACAAAATATTTAAGCATATAACGATCACAGAAATATACAAAAAGAAACTTACTTTCATTTTTACTTTTCTCAGTATATTTGTCTTCTAAAGTTGATAATCTGCCCTTGAAATAACTGATTTCATCATTAGCAATATGCTGAAATTATCAAAAAGAAATGATTTAGAAATTTTCATGACAAATTCAAAAAAATTGGGAAATGATAAAAACTAGAAATACAAAAACAAAATGGAAATTTAATTAAATGGATAATAAAACACTAATCTAATTTACATAATTACAATTTTAGATTAAAGTTTCATAATTGAAACAATAAAAAAGAAAATAAATAATCTATATAAAATAAGAATTTCTTAAATATTATCTGAAATGAGTCATTGTCTTTATTCTACAAGTTATACCAACAATTATTTTTAGTCTTACAATTTTATCTCAACATTTCAGCCAATGTGTTTATATAATTCATCCAATTTTATCTTTTATTGATGATTATAAGTCTAGACCACAACGATTCCTGCAAACATTATAAAGTCCAAAGAAAATTCACTTTATATATATAAAATAAATAAATCCTGATGATGATCCCATGGGATGAAACATGTAGGTAGTACCTGGCTCATTAGGATTTATTTATTTTACCTTTGCTCTACTTAGCATACTGAGCACTCTCTGTTTTAACTTGTTACTTGCTGGGTTTTTTTTTTCTTTGTACCAGAAATTTAAGGTACTGGACAATTTCTTTTGCTCTGTTCAGAGATTTCTGGTTCTTTCTTTCTTTTTTTTTGGGTTTTTTTTTTTCAGATGCCAATGCCAATTTGTTTGAAAATTGTGCTATCCAGGCTTTTTCACCCACTGAGTTTAAATAAATATATATATATATATATATATATATATATAATAAATGTCCATGGTTGGTGTTGTTATTTTGTGATTTTTGGCAATCAATTCTTCAGCCTTTGCACCAACCAAAATGGTGCATCAACAAAAAGTAACTATATAAAGAAGAGATTTTGGTATCCAGACAATGTTAGATATGTTGATGGATGGTTGTTTTACTAGTCAGGATCATCAAGTCAATGCAAATTCCTCAATCCTTTTCTTAGCTGCATAGTATGTGCTTCACCAGGGCTATATATGATTTTGAATTCAGAGATGTCCTTTTCCTAAACTAGTTGCCAATCAAGGCTACAGACCCCAGACTGCCCTACTATTTAACACACACATTATTTATATATTTAATACACAAATTTGTATAGAATAATAAACAGCATGTTTGTGACAATTATAGCTTAATAATTTTATAAAACAAAGCTCAATTTAACACATAAATCAGTTATGTTCAACACTGAATTGAAATTTGCATGCCACATCAATTGAAGACAATTTGTTAAACAAAAACATGAACAGATCTGTTTTCAGATGCAAACAAATGCAATACTCAAAAAGAAAAGAACAAAAAACCAAAGAGAATCTGCCGGACATGCAGCTGTAATAAAAGTGTTTGCATGCACTAAATAGTGACATATGCTAATTCAGGCATAACAAGCAAGAAGTTTTTTTTAAAAAACTTGCAAAGTCCATATAACTCCTGTTGCAGTTTTATTTTTTAATTTGAAAGTCAATTGATTACAATATAAAGAACAGCAGATTCATTGATATCCACAATACATTGTGTCCTATCAACTAGTATTTAGTTTAGAGATGTTCACAAAATTGCCAAAAAAATGGCATACTATGAGAAAAAAATGTCCCAAATTTGATGAAAACTAAGTTTTATCATCAAAATCTTTATGATATTATTAAGAGGAAAGACCAAAGAGTTTTTTTTTTTTTATTATTTTAGTAAATTTTTTCATCCTTTTTAGTACATTCAAAATTTTGACTAAAATTTTGATTTACAATGTTTCTGTATAAACATGCCTTTTTTTATATACATCTGTTCATACAAGACATAATTATTAAAAAGTCACATGTTTTAAGAGTTGTTTAAAATTTCATAATTGAGATAATATAAAAATTAATAATAAATAAGATACCATAAAATTTCATAAGAGATCTCAAATTATAGTTACCTCTTCTTATTTATGAAATTTTATGTTACATTAATTTTTACATTATCTCAGTTATGAAATTTTAAAATTATTTTATTGTTATAGTATTTTAAATTCTTTTATTATTTTTCCAGAAGGAATCTTCAAACATAAGGCTATAAAGCTAAAGTAACTAAAAATCAATAAAATATTAGATTGCTTAAAATGTTTGTTAATTTGTAAAAATTACTGGGTAGTTAAATAAGTTTGCTTAAAATTTGTAAAATTCATGTCACTTCTGTTCATCTGTTCCATGACTTCTGACCTCAGTTGTCAATAGCATCAATCAACACCTGATAAACAAGTCACCGTGGTTAAAAAATGCTCTTCTTATTTTCTACTACATTTTTTATGCTATCTGGCAAAACAAATATTTAAGTATAAGCCACTGGAAAACTTCATTTTACATGCTTAATTACAGTGTACCGTAACTCTCCCACTCAAAAAAATATTTCTGATTATAAAATCTGAGCATGAAATTAGAATAAAAAATAAATATTGTAGATAAGCTGAACATATTTTAAAACCTAAATATAAATAGATAAAATAAAAGTCTCTAAAGCATTTTTGTTGCAATAAGATTACCAGTTCATAAAAAAAATAACTAACTATTTTGTTGTATGGTAGATTGTAAGGATTAAAACAGCTTGTGTTTTATTTTGCATATTAATATAAAAACTTTTCACCTATTATAAATCTGATTATTTTCTGACATCAATAATAATTTTAAAGAATGAAATACAAAGTTGGCAATAATTATCATCATTATTTATGTATTTTTATAAACTCAATTATTCAAAAACAAGGTGAGTTTTCATAGTGTCAAGTCAGATTTATATATATATATATATATATATATATATATATAAATCTGAGTTGTCACTATATATAAATATATAAATTCATTCTGATAACTTTTCAATAATATTAACATTGCTACACATTTCAGAAAAATTTCTAAAGAATGGAAATATTTAAATACTATATATTTTCACATTTAAGACAACTTTTAAATCACAAAAATCACACCTAAAAATGGGGGTTGTCTTATACTACAATTCTAAAAAAGAAACTTTAAATTCTGAGTGATGTTTGTCAGTAGACTAACCTTGGTCTCAGTGTGATAACCAATAACATACATGAAATGATTCATATTATCAAATAAACTGAAAATAAAAATAATAAAGTCATTATCATAGTGTTGTCTTTTGTGATTATTGATGAAGTATAAGTAAATGGCCATTAGTACACCAGGATGTTTCTAATTGATTAGATACAGGAAAAGAAAAAGAATCAATATTCACAAGAGATGTAAACTAAACAATGATTTTCCATTTATAGGATATGTGTAGGAAAAACATGATATAGAATTGGTTTTATTTCTTTATATAATCAGTCATCTTATACTATAGATATAGGATAAATTCATTATAGTTTTTGACCTTATCTAAAGGTCGCCTTATATGCAGAAATATAGTCTTTCATTTCATAAATTAAAAGAAAAACCTAATTCTGGTTTTAAAAATTGTTCAATAAATTACAAAAAAAAAGAAAAAAATGGAATCAGTTTGAAGGTTTAAAATAATAAATATCAGAACTGCAATACTATTTTGAAAAATCATTTCAATGCAAATGATCTTATTTTAATGATGACATGGAAATAAAAATATTCATATTCAAAAGAAAATCTAGACAAGACACACTAATATCAAAAACAATTTCAAGAATTTATCTATTAAATATCTTTTCAGTTACTAAGTATAATTTATAACTTGATTATCTCTTTTTAGAATTGATGACCAAAAAGTTCTGTTTTATAAAACAAAACATTAATATTTCAGAAAATGCTCTTTCTAATGATATAAAAATAGACCAATATCATATTCAATATATGGCAACTATTTGTAAAGATATTATCTACTTTAATAACATTAACTTAAACTTTATACACTGTAGAATTTTACAACAATACATAAGTATTTGATTAAAAAAATACAATTAATTTTGTTGTTAATGATAAACATTGTTAAAACTTATTCATTTTATATACACACTTCTGTTGTAAAATATTAGTGAGAATACAGCTGTTTCTACAAGGAAATATAGCCAGTCAGATTAGTCCTATCTTTACTGACAAGGTAAAAATACAATATGACAACATAAAAATAAATGATAATAGAATATGTTTTTATATTCATAAAAGCAATTGAAATTTGTTCTAAATTTATCTTCAAAATTGAAATTTAGATTTCAGAGACAATTGATGGGTCTGGTAAATTGTGGATTTGTGTTTTAGGTTTTTTTTAATTGGTTTCAACCCCATGCAAGGTAGTAAAGCCACTAAGATACAAGGGGTGTGGAAGAATTTGGAACAGAAACATTAATAATGAGCGAGAAGAATAAAGAGTAATCAAGAGGGCAGTAGATAACAATTGACATTGCATTTAAATTTTTGCAGATTAAAGTTGGCTGGAAAGGCATAAAGCCAGAAGGGAGTTCCAAAAGCAAGAAATGCAAGAATAAAAACTGTTAGCATAGAATTTATGGCTACATCTAACCAGCTCAACTGCAAATTGATGAGATCTCAATGCCAGTCTTATACTGCACATAAACTCAAAAATGTCTAGATACCATAGTGAAGAGCTAATCTGAAAGATTACCATGAAAGCATTTATAGAAAAGACACAGAGAAGTAACCTTATGGCAATGGGAAAGTGACTGAAGCCGAGATGCCAGGTCAGGGTCAATAATATTGTTGATTCTTCTTTGGATTTTATCAAGGAGCTCAAGGTAAATAGCAGAGGCACCAGAGCCTGTATGGCAGCAATATTCTAAGTATGGACAAATGGTAAACTTATAGATATGTATGATAGATTCTGAAGAAAAAAACTGTCTTACACGACACAGTGAACCAACTTTCTTAGCAGCTGACCTAGCAATGGATTCAATATTGTCTTTCCACTTCAAGTCAGCTGAGAACATTAGCCCAAGAAGAGGGGTCTCTCAAATGATTAATGGAGAGAAGTTTAATTTTGGAAGCATTAAAGTTAACATGCCATCTTTTGTCCCAGTTAACAACAGACAAGATCATTTTGGACATCAGCTGCCATTTTGACCTTGTCAAACTGATCAGCCTTACTATCGAGGCAGGAGTAAATGGTTTTGTCATCAGAGTAGATACCAAGTTGAGAGCTAATGTCATCAGGAAGGTCATTAAAACCATTAAGATATACTGTAGGAATTATTTGGGAAATAAAGTTTTCGGAAACAGATAAGATTGACAATAGAGGGAAAATGTAAAGTTACACTCAAAAAATGATTTTTTTTAACACAAAATATTCATATTTTGACATCATTTTTATAGGTTTTATTTTTTATTTTTGTCTATAGTTGTTTTAATAATAATATGAATACAAAATCAAACAGTGTAACAAAAATCAATAGAAAAAACATTCAGCAGAAAATAAAGGTAGAATTTTATAATAAATAGTTATCCTAGAAAACTTAATACAACAAAAGAAACCTTTGACAATTTAGAGAATTCTCTCTGAAAACTGATTTCAAATAAACAGAAGAGACATCTAAGAATGTAAATAATGTGGCATGAGAAAAAATAAAGCAGGCTTTGAAATAAATAAACAAGTTTAACCAGTGCACCAAGCTAATATTTCAGTATTCTATATCACCAAAAAGATAAAGGTTGAGTTAATGGCGGCCACCATGAGTCATGCAAACCTTTTCGTGAAGCAGGTATTCTCGTTCCCTTTCTAAATCAGCATTAGCTTGGGTAAGCAGAGCCACTTGACGGTCAAACTTTTCAATATCAACACTCATGTCACTGTCATCATCGTCATCATCTTCATCATCATTGAGCAAGGAGCGAGAGTCGTGACGATAAGCCATCTTAAGTGGATACATACTTGCTGCAGCTTTATCAAGCAGATATTCGGCCTTCAAAACAACAAGACATGCATCAAAGCCATCATTTGCTGGTCAATCACACAAAATACATAACCTTTTTTAACCGATGTTCACATGGAAGATTGGTGTAAAAAATAAAGCCAATGAGAAAATTTGGTTTCAATCAATTGAAATGTGGCTTTTACTGTTCACAATATAAAATCAAACCAACAAATATGGAAAACAGCCCAGCAGGCAAGAAGAGTTATTGTTGTTATGTAATGGAAGAAAATATTAGTAAATATAGTTAAAAGATAGAAAAGGAGACTTGTTTACATATGCTGCTAATGCTACTGTTAAATCTGATGCCATGAAGGCGCTGAGTCCACGAGAATCACCTTGTCACACTCCAGGTCTCACTGTCTTAGCAGAGCATCAGAACATCTTTAATCTACTGGTGGTTCTGAGTCACAATGTCTTTCCAGTGGCTGTATGATCTGCAGCGAGGTTGTTGCCAGTTTGCAAAAGGTAGTTTGAACTGTTAGATGACTTTGGTTCACATGCAGGACATGACCAAGTCAGTAAACATGGCACTGAGCAAGCAATGGTGTGAAGGATCTTTTCATATAAAAACTTAAATTAATTTCTTACTTGAACCGAAATGGTTCCATCACTCTTTCATTTTTTTTTTCTTCTTGAAAAATGATTTTTAAAATAACACATGATAGATAAATCCCAGACTCAAAGTAACAACAGCATCTCTTTTCTTCTGCGTGAATGGAAAAAATTGTAAGACCTAAAGAAAATTTAGCAGGGAAATACAAATTTTTCATAATAAACTACTTTAAAATTGTTTCTTAAAATGAGAAAACAAATGATGCTCAAAAATTATCGACAAAATTTATTTTTTTAGTTAGAATGATAAAACCTAATTGCATATGATTCTTGGAAAAGGTTTCTATATATAGTTGAACAATCTTCCAGTGGTACAAACATCATTTAATAAGAAAGCAAAAAGTTGTTAGTATTGCCAAGTTAGTTACTAAGCAAACATTCATGCTTTCTAATTATATCCTCTACAACTAACAATTTGCACAAGGAACAATGAATTTTTTAGAGAAATTGGTTCAATCTTCCTTAGCAAAATCAACAAATTTACAGTTGGATATTGAATTCAAACTTGTTATCAATATCATTAAAAGAAGTCAAAGTAAAAAAAAAAAAAAAAAAAACTTACCTTTCTAGGTTGGAAAACAGAAAAATAAACTTTACAGACAAAAATTTTTATTACTTTTTTGGAAAATAGTTTGGAAATCATAGCAACTGTTTATATGTAGACCACCAACTAAAATTCTATCCATAACAAAGACATTTTCAATCTTATATAAGATAAAGTGTTTCACAAAGAACTGTTTGAACTACTAGGTAGACTTTATTTGAAAAGAACTTTTAGAACAATCCAGAACTTATAATGGGAGCAAACCAACTGCATACAGATAGAAAATGAATTTAGTAAATACTCATAGAAAGGAGCATAAGACAAGGATGCGTCTTCTCACTGAAATTATTCAACATTTACAGTGAGGCAATCCTCAGAGAATTAGAAGTCCTACCAGGATTCATTACTAGCAGCTATAATCTTAACAATACAGAATATGCAGATGACACATTTGTTGGCAGCAGACATAGAAAGGAAACTACAAGAAATCCTACAAAAGGTAATGAAGGAAAGGAAGAGGAAAGGACTAAACATCAATGGTAAGAAAAGAGAATGCATGGTGGTCAGTAAAAGGAACAGTCCAACATGTGAACTATTCAATTGAAGAGACCAATATTAAGCAAGTTCAAAAATTTAAATACCTAGGAATACCCCAAGGATGCATGGCCCAGTGGATAAAATCATTGGTTGAATTAATCCAGTGACTTGACCCAAAGAGTTGTGAGTTCAATACCTGGCCACAGAAAAACTTGGAGAGTCGAGTTAATAAAAGGGAAATAACTGAAACTGAGGTATCCAGAAAAGGCATGGCACGTTTAATTAGAATAATCTACCCTGGTGGACGAAATAAAGTATTTGCTTCAAAATTCCAACCTGCAGAAGGCCAGAGCATACAATGGTTGAAATATTGTGAATATGACAATAAAGATGAAGACAACAGTCCAAACAATGTAAATTGTGTAAATACCTAGAAAGTATTTTAACAGAGGACAGAAAATGTGACATTGAAATCCGAAAGCACATTGGAATATGAAAAGATGCCTTCCAAAATGTAAACAAAGTATTAAGAAACAGGAAAAATTCATTAGAAACAAAGAAAAGTGTACTAAACTGTTATGTAATATTGTTCCTTCTATATGGCAGTGACAATCTCCTCACAGATAAAGAAGAGACTTGAGGTAAAAGAAATGTGGTTCTATGTGGAGAATACCATAGATTGAACATGTACTGCAAGCAACAATGAAGTTTTAAGGAAAATGGAAACTAAAAGGATATATGTAGAAAAAGAAGTCAGTTGATATTTCTAGGATACATAATAAGGAAAGAAGGTTTAGAAAATTTAACACTCACAGGACATATTGAAGGTAAGAGGGACAGAGGAAAGAAGTGAATAACCTACCTAACAAGTCTGTATAAATGGTTAGTAGAACAGGGATTAGAAGAAATATGATTGCCCACATCCTGCTGAAGGGACATAGCACATAGAAGAAACAAACAAACAAAATACTTTCTTCTTGTTGGTTTCCCAACTTCAGAATCTATTGATAAGAAAATGAATAATATTTATACAAGATTTATGAATTTCATTCATGACACAAGTTCACAAATGATATTCAATTAGCATTCATTGAAGGCTATGAATTGCAGAGATGCATTTAACATTCTTGAATTCAATCTGATGGTAATGTTTTTCCATAATATTTACCGTTTCAAATGACATGTTGTCATCAATTTCTTGTTCTTCAACTTCGGCAAGACCCTAAACAGAAGAAAATTACTTGAGATTAAATAATCATTTCTTTAGACATAAAACAAGTAAGTGGAAAAATTATTTTGACACAAAATTAGAACACTTTAAATAGTAGCAAATTACTATATCTTACCAAGTATATATAAATGTATTTATTAAGGTCATTAAAACCAAATTAGCAATATTTTAAACTAGATTTTGAAGAAATAAAGATCTTCAGAATCATTTTAAGTTTGACATTTTTTTTAAAACCATAGAATTTTAATTTGGTTAATAATTTTTGAAAATTTCAGTAGAAAAGAATTATTTTTTCAACACACTAACATGTGTTGAAATCATCACAGTATTTAGTATTGTTGAAGTTATTGCTAACATTTTTTTGTCGAGATTTATAAACTCCATGTTTCGTTCAATTTCTCAAACCAATTAATGAAATTTGAATAAGCTGATTTGTTTGAAAAAATACTTTGACAGAAATCCTATTTTGTGGTTTGATAATTTAATTTTATAGGACTTCATGGTAAACAATATTTTTAAGAAAATTCATTTTTTTCCTTTTTAACAGTGAAGAATAAATTCTTAGGATTTCTTACTCTTGAACATGCAACTGGTCATGCGTACATAATTCTTTCTGGATTCAAATTCCAACTTTTTGAAGCGTTTGACCTTGTAATTTGTTTATACTTCTCACAAACACAGGGTGAACTGGAAATTGGATTCTTGTATATACAAAAACTTCAAGAAAATATATGCAAAGAACAATATTGCATTTTTATTAAATAAGTATTTGTTATTTTGATAAATTGTTTTTAAAATAGTGGGTGTATTTTGTATTTTAAATAATAAAACTTGTAATTTAAAAAAAAAAAAATGAATGAAAATTTATTGTACTAAGCTACACACCCTAGTAAAACCAACTATACTTTATACCCACTTACTTGTTTGCTCTTCTCCCCAAAATTTGGTTTTGATCAGTCAATGTATGGCTATTTTAGAAGGTGTGACAGACTAACAGAAGTCACAGAATTTTATATATAGATTCCATTAATTCTTTTCTACATATTTTAAGGCAAACCTGAAAAATCTTTCAACATATAAATTTCACATTTTCTTGTACAAATTTAAGCTGGAGCAAAATGGAACTGAAGCTGTGAAGAAAAGAAATTCTGCATTTGGTAACAATGCTGTTAGTTATAAATATATAAATAGTAAAAATAACAAATAATAAAGAGCAAAAATTTGGATCTGAAAATGTTCTAGTAAAGATTTCAGTCAACAAAAAGGTTGGTCTAAACAAAGATGAAGATTTCATGACTGTAATTGAAAATTATCCCCAAACCTACCAGAGAACAAAATTTAATCTGGATAAGAAAAAAAAAATTCAAATCCTGAATTAATCATGCCAATAGAGTGAAACAGATTTTTCTTTTTATTGTATTATTGTATTTTTCTTTTTATTGTATTATTATCCCTTGAAATGAGAAATAAATTTTGAATAATAATCAGAGGTTTGCACAATGGCTGAATGTGGAGGAGAAGCCAAAACATCAAAAAAAAAAAGGAAAAAAAAGATATCACTGGAAAGTTATAAATGTTTAGTGAATAAAGAGATTTGGTACATTTGATACATCATAGTTTCAAAGTGATCAATGTACATAGAGAATAGACAGAAATAGTGTATTCAAAACTCAAACACAACTTGGTTTGGTGTATAGAAAGGATGATATTTTTCTGTCTGATAGTAACTCTCTTCAAGCTGTAAGTAAAAGACATTAATAAAGTTGAAAAATGGAAACTTTATTGGACCCTGTCTATTCACCCAACTGTTTATAGATTACGATTCTTTCAAAATAGCAAGACCATTTTCTTACAAGCCAGAACTTCTGAAGGGATTTTCTTATCAGTTGGGTATCTGCTAACAAAGAGGGACAGAAAACTCAGCAGCACCAGAATCAAAGACCGGATCATGACAAGCAGGGCACAGACAAGACTTCCATATGTACAGTATGAACATAGCTGAGACACTAGAATCACAAACAAGGATGAATGAATTTGAAACAACACTGGGTAACACAAACAAAAATCCTTGGTAACACACAACAATCCCATTGTGCGGTCAACGTGGCACACTGCCAAGCTCTGCTTCTTTGCAGAAAATGTGCCTGCTTTTATAGAGCCTAAAACTTTAGTGGTCGACTAACAAATGAATCATATGCATAGCTAACAATGCTCAGCTCACTATCCTGACTATCTTGTGGGGATCTGGTAAACATTTTCTTTCTTTATAACCAGCCATTCTGGGGTTCACACCGGCTCTGTTCTAGCATGGTAGCCTCGTGTTGTCTTTTTGCAGAGACACTAGACTAAACATTCTCTCTTTGACCGATAGGAGTGGCTAACATTATAAGTAGTGATTGGCAGCTCCGTCTGCATTTTGTTTCTACTCCAACTTCTCCATTCAGGATCAAACTGAAGTAATCTTCAATGAATTTAGAGTTACTTTGAATTAAAAATTCTTCCAAAAAGGAATGGATAACTTGCTGTCAAGATGAAATAAATATACAGAGGTCAAACAATGGCAGTGTTTTAATTAAAGTAATGATTTTTTTTCTACAAATATTTTTACAATTTTATAATGTCTAAATTAACCAGTAATTACATATAGAACAATATGATAATCAAAAATTGATATTAACAATATTTTTCTAAATTAGAAATATGTGTATGTATGAAACTTACCCTTTGAGCTTGCACAACATTCAAAGATGTTTCTTTTTCCTTCAGTTGATTTCTTAATCCCAACAAAACTTCTTCTAATGCTTCCTTTTCAGTTTGCCAGTCAGATTTCATATATTCAAACTGTTCAATTTCTTGCTCATATTTCTCTACTTGTTTCTGTAACGTAGATAGTTGCTGATCTAAAAGTTGAGTCTTTGAAGGAGTGCATTGTTTACTATTTATTTGGTTTACAGCATTCTGCAAATTGGAGGCACTGTCAACAAAAATAAAGTTTATTCTTTATAGGCTAAATGGACTAAGACGGTAGACAATTATATACATACAAAAAGTATTTATAATAAAAGTTGGGAATTTTTACTGAGACAATGGCTTTCAGTGAATTATTTTCTTCGTAATGAGAAAGTTGTAGAAATTGTTATAAACATGATGTTGACACATTTTATCCTCTTCTTTTATGACACAAAGCATCCAAAATCAATGAGATCATTGAAAGGTTTTATTTTGCTGTTAAAACAATTTAAGAGAAAAGAAGGAGTAATGGGAGTTGAATAATTTGTTGGAAATTAAAATTAAAGTAATAAAAATAAACTTTTGTCATTTATGTATGTACATTTATTTATCAGTTAACTCACTACTACACATGTTAATGAAGGATTTGCAGACATGTTTATATGGATTTTTGGCCTTGTTTCACCACCAAAGTTTGTAAAAGTATTTTTGATACAGCCTCTGTGTGTATGTATATATATATATATAATTTTTGTCTTTATTTTCACCTGAAATTAAAGCAAACATACGAACATTAGAACAGCTCATCATCAGACATTCATTGTCTGTTATATTTAACAATATATGTTTCTAGCCACATTGATGAGCTGTGATACAGCGAAACAGTTTGTCTGTGGATGCCGCACACACACACTCTATATATATATATATATATAAAAACACTTATTAATCTACATTTTTTATCCATTAATTTTAAGAGTAAGCTTTTATTTATCAAGATTTATTTTTACATAGTTGGCCTTTTTATTGTTGGTCAACCATCTAACTTAGTAAGGGAAAACTGATCACAAACCAAGGCAGGCAAGACTCTTTAGACTTGAATTGTAACCCATCATTTAGATGTGTTAAACTCTACTATATGAGGAGTATATGACCCTTGTTAGTATCGACTATTGACTAGCCAAAACAACTTTGTTCATTTTAGCCTGAGTAGGAGACTAGTCAGTTTCAGTTCCGTATTTTTTATATTAATAAATGTACTAAGTATATAATGTCTTACAGAATTTATCAATCCAACCTTGATCAACTTAAAATTCCTGTACAAAACCATGAGCAAACTAATAACTAAATTCAGGTTATGTAGCAGTTAGTGTAGTAACTAGATACATTATTAACAAAAAACATAGAAAAAAAAGGAGTGGTCAAATTATGTACTGTCTAATTTTGTGCATATTAGTAATAATTTAAATAATGCATGATGCATTTTATTTCTTATTAAAGTACTATCTACTAATTAAAAATATGAGGGAATGCTGAAAAGTTCTTGTCCTGACTAAGAATGAGTTCAAAACAAAAATACTGATGTTTGGTCAGATTTCCTGAAAAGGGTGAAATCAAAAACTTTTCAGCATCCCTTATAAATAAAAGTCTATATAAAAGACTCTTTAAAAGTCTTACCTTAATTGTGGCAGTTCAGTTTTATGTTCAACATTTTCTTCTAAATTCTGCATTAGATCATCTGTAAAAAATGAACAACAATTACACGATATATTATTGGAATAAGTGGAACAGGTTTACTAACAAACAAACAAATATGAAATGAAGCAACAGCACAAGCAAAAAATTCAACAGAAGACAAAGCAGTCATTTAAAGTTCAAATGTTTGTTTTTTTTCTTGGCTCAGTTGTAAGTACAATCTTTCTTAAAAGCATCCAAGCTCAGAATGTTGGTTGTTGAAAACAAATCAGGAGAAAATGATACACAGATATGGAACTTAACCAGAGAAAATCAGTTATGTAACTTCTAAGTGCAAGTACATACAATCCTGATATTAATATGAAGGATTGAACTTGTTAGTAAACTCGCTAACAACAGCATTCAGTATTGTTGCTAACATTACACATTTCAACAAATTTCAATCTCCTAAAAATTGTCATTTGAATATAGTAATTTATATTAAACTGAGAAAAATGATTGAGAATTTTAACAAGGCAACAAAGAACATGGCACATAGAAATAAAATAAGACAGCAATAAGAAAATAAAAAGTATAGATTTTGTATAAAATTCCCCAACACTTGAGAGATTTCTCTAAAAATCATATATATTCAGTTATATATTTCTTCTAAATGGTTTGTATTGTATTACAGATATTGTTAAGAGAATCTATTTTTATGAATAGAGTTCTGGATCATTTAGATAAAAGACTTCAAAGAACTCTTTGATGTGGTCAGGAAACCTTACAAGTAGAAGTCTTCATCCAGGTACCAAAATTAAGCGAGTTGGCTGGCAAAGTCAGTTGTTATAGAAATCTGCTTCACAGCAGTCTGTTTATTACCATTCACTGACCTGACAAGTATACCACAAGACAAAACACAGACACTCCAGACTGGAGTTATTCTGAAGTATTTCTAACTTCTTAACAATAAGCCTTTATGCTTTTATTTCCTTTTTAGCCACTGACCAAATCACTAAAATTACAATAAAAACCATTTTTGTTTACTATAAAACTTAGTCGATCTTCTTCTTGACCTAATTTGACCTATTTCTTTTGTCGCACACATGATAATATAGAAAGAATTAAGTAACTAACAAACCTTGTGGAGAGACAACAGTGGAACTAGTGGCAAGTTCTTTAATTGTTGCTTCATGTTTCATTTTAAATTGCCTCAATTCCTCCACCTGAAAATATTAATGTAGACATTGTTTATTCTGATGCAATGCTGTAAACTGTTTTGTAGATATGATTATTTTCAAATTCACTTTCATAAAAAGAATGAAATACAACAGAACTGAATATTTTACTGACATTTCTTCATAGTTGAATAATTATCACATAATCAAGAAAGAAAGAAACTAAGTTTGTAGGTCTAGTGATATAGCCACTGATGTTTATCTGGCAGCATCTATATCATGTCATCTAAGCCAAAATGTATATATGTGTTTACAATGTTAAATTAGTTATTTTGCATTTGCAGTATACCTAATACCAAAAAAGGAGTATCTTCATATAGGTGTGGGAGGGGGCTCTATGGATGTGACCTGGGAACTAAGGGGGGAAACATTTAGAAAAAAGTATGGGAACCACCGATTTAAATTAATACTTATAAACTTAAAAAAAAGTATTCATGTTAGAAATGGTATATATTGTGGAATTATTTATTATAGCACAAAGAATGGTGAAATCTAACAAAAATACAAAAAAAAAATGGAATCAAAATCCAGTTGTATCCAAACAAATTTCAAATTATCACAAACATGTGTTAATGTTCTTTTTTATTAAAACAATAATTTTTTCATCATTGACTAAACCTTAAAAAGGTCAGATCAGAAAATTAGGATATGTCTCCAGTTCATTTAACCCTATTACATTGGATGTTATATTTAAAACTTGTCACAATTACAAACTTTTGTGGTAAAATAAAATTATAGAAAGAAATATAAAGGTTGATTAGTAAGAAAGATTTCTAACCAAGTTTTTTTAGACCATATAGAATAATGAAATTGATATCAAAGGTCAATTACGAAATCTGACTTCAAACATTAACTTTATAATAGCTAGCTTTGGCAATAAAAAGTTTTTATGAGTTGATTGAAGTTTTACTATTGTTTTCACACTAAAAGTATCACTGCAAATAAACTTATTATCACCCACAAATGAAAATGCCAAGCATGAGATAACTTGTAATTGGCAGTCTTTATTATGATGCCAACTATGAGTTATTTCTTGGCCGGCAGTCAATGTGTTAAATTTAGGTCTCTTCAAAATTACAAGGGTTATTTTTCAACATATATTCCATTCCACATGTTTTATCCATTTTTTTCATTCATGAAGAAAGATTCTGGCTTCAGTTGTGCAGAGCAGCTTTAACTTGGGCATTGGATGAAAAATGTCAATTCTTCAACATCTCTTTCAATTTCAGGGGTTAAGAGAATCTATTTTTATGAATAAAACTTCTCAGAGTTCTGGATCATTTAGATAAAAGACTTCAAAGAACTCTTTGATGTGGTCAGATGACCTTACAAGTAGAAGTCTTCATCCAGGTACCAAAATTAAGCGAGTTGGCTGGCAAAGTCAGTTGTTATAGAAATCTGCTTCACAGCAGTCTGTTTATTACCATTCACTGACCGGATATGTAAACAATACTAGAAAAACCCAGCAACTCCCAACAGAAATTATTTTTAAGTATTTTTAACTTCTTGGAAGTAAGTGTTTATTTTTTTGGTTTTTTTCCTTTTTAGCCACTGACTAAAATTAAAATAAAACCTTTTTTGTTTACTAAAAAATTTAGTTGGTCTTCTGTCATTCCATTTACTTCTTTTCTTATTTCTTTTGTCACACATGTGACACAGAAACAACCAGTAGTTTGACGGTGCTAAATTAGAGTTATTGAAATTCAACAAGTATTAATTAATGCTGTTTGCGGACTGCAATACAGACTTTCAATGTCATGATAAAAGAAAAATGTTCTATCCTTTTAGACTTTATCCTGTAGATGAGTTGGGGGTTTGCAAGGATTCATTTCTTTCATATATGTCTGTGAATTTCTATTGGCCATCTAGTGTCAAAAATCCAATCATGGATCATTGCTTTAACTCAGTTATTGTACTCCTGATTAACAAGTATTATTACAAAACACACTTAACCCTTCAACATGCTCAAACCCATTCTGCAAATATTGGCTCTCAAACTCTGTTTGTTGTTAAAGTCTCACTGTTTGCATGACTAATTTTGTTATTTGCAATAATATCATATATTATGATGGAGTATACATGGGACAGGTTGAATATTGAAAGCCAAGGCAGGTTTGGGCATGCTGAATGATAAAGGGTTAAACAGGACTTTTTATACCACTGAATATAAATATAATTCTGTCTCCACTATTAAAGAATTATAAATCAACTTTTGTATAATTTCAATAGCAAAATTTTATAAACAAAAATATTTGAATGTTAGATGACGAGGTCAAGAAATATAGCAAATTTTCATGAATTTATCATATACCTGTAGTATAAGATGACTGATTATTGATTATATAAAGATGATGTTATTGGAAATGTTGCTATTTACTGTATCCTTAGAAATTCAAAATAAACAAAATAACAAAACCAATTTTATATCATGTTTTTCTTACACATTTTCCTAATATTTTTTTTTAATATTATGTTATCCTAAATGTTATTACTGTTGTAATTAACACTCATGATAATTATTGAAAGTTCAGTGAAAGATAAAGTTTACTCTGAATGCAATCATATGCTTGAATTTTCTCAGCTGATCTTGCATGGATACAAGTTGATTTCATTGATATGGAATTATTCTTCGAATAGGCAATTTATTATGAAGTCATGCCAATAATATATAAGGTAGAAATGGTTTTATGACTTTTATTATCAGTTTATTTGATAATGTGAATCTTTTCATGTACATTATTGCACCAAGGCCAAGGTTAGCCTAAAAGCAAACATCACTCGGAATTTAAGGTTTCTTTTTTAGAATTGTAGTATAAAACGACCCTGAATTTAAAGGTTATTTTTGGGATTTAAAGATCATCTTATATACACAAATATGCAGTGTGTATGTATGTGTATTATATATATATATATATATATATATATATATAAAATTCTCTCTAAAAATACACACATGCTAATAATATATACAGTGTGTGTGTATATATATATATATATATATATATATAATAGCTGGGCACTCATATTCGAGAATACCCATCTACTAGGGCAGCTAGCAACTCCCTACTGCAGACGCTCACTCAGGCATATTTGTGTTTGCTCAATACTCACAGAGTTAGAATATATTTATAAATATATGCACATATGTTGCAAAATGTGATTGCACTGAGAGTACAATATTTATCTGCCAGATAACAATAAAATCATATTAAGAAAAATTAGTGAGATTTTAGAATATTTTAATAATTTCTAATCAATACTAAACAATGTTTCATTATCGATATTCCAATAGTCAATAAACTTATGTCATTTGTGATAAAATAATCTTACTTCTTGAGTTTCCTGTGTCAATTTCTCTATTTCTAAGTCAGCCTCTGCAAGAAAGATAACATTTTATTCAGATTAGAAGAAAAGGTGTACATTGAAGTCTGACATCAAAGAATTGTTTTTAATGTTTGTCATCAAATGATACAAAAAGTACAACTGAGATTACTGAACCATCCATGAAAGATGGATATTTTTGAGGATTTTCTTTTTTACTAATGTTCACCCTATACAGGGCTCAAGGAGTCATTCGAGGTAGAGGGAATACAACAGATACAAGTGACGTGATATACTTGACAGTACAAGTCTTTCTTGTTTATAAGAAAACCTTATTTTTTCTTAATTCAAAAAATAAATGCTTTACTTACTTGCAAGTGTTTTGGCTAATTCTGACATTGCTTCTTCAGATTGCTCAAGCTCTTTTTCAAGATGAGATACCCTTTCTTGAAGCTTGGAAATTTCTTTCTCTGATGCTTCCAATTTCAACTAAAAATGACAAAATCAAAATTCAATAAATTAAAATTGCTATAAATTATTTCATCAAACCAAAATGAAAAGCTATTTCTAAATAATGAATAGATTTGGCAATAAAAACTTATTTTGTACATTTTATAAAAAATATCACAGCACTCTCTCTCAATTACAATTAATCAACAATATTTTTCTTTATTATATAAGCATGCAAAACAATTTGCATTTAAAGATGTACTAGTTATCAAATTTTGCTTCCTTACCTGAAACTTATTGTCAGGTGATTTCTCATGCTGATCAACAGGGTCTAAACACAAAAAAGTAAATAAAGATAAACAGGATTAAACGATGACATTTTTAATTGTTCATTTCAATAATGAATATTGCGCTAAAAATATGTCATAATATGGATGTGGTTATTCAACCTGTAACATTTTTGTCAGGGTTTGTAATTCGGGCAAGAATAAAATTTCATATTTTGTACTAAAGAAACAATCCAACAGGAATATAAATGAGACACCATATCAACTGGAAAATGTTTAACTATCAATGAAACATATAGAGATATAATTCTAATGCTGCATTATTTATATGACATTATATAATGAAAATAAAGTTGCTGTTCACATTAAAGATAATATTAAACTATAAAAGAACTATTACAAAACTTCTGGAATATTTAACTGGTTTTCTCAATTTCTGACATTATAGACCAATAATCTCAGACCCAAGTTTTTGGTAAACATTAGAATCTGAGGTTGATTCCATTTCATCCCTCCTTGACAAAACTTGGTTCATTTAAAGAATGGGATTGGATATATTGTAATAGAAAAACAATATCAAAATAATAAAGAAATCATAGTCATACCACAAGTGATCTATTTGAAAATAAGAATATAACTATTAATATTGATTTCACATTGTATGTGTAATGTAGAGAATGGTAAAACAATAGTTTATATAAATTCTAGAATCCAGAGCTAAAGTAAAAACAAGACTTATTTTTAAATTGAAAACTACAGTACATCACAAAAACTTCTGTCTGAATTTCTGAGATGAGCAGTTATCATTATTTACACTATTTACATGTAGACTATTGTCCTAATCTTTGTTGTTATTATCCCAAGACTAAACCAGATGTAGTTTTAGAGAAAATGGAAGCAAAAAGGACACTTATACTAAACATCAGGAAAAGACAGTTGAAATTTCTATGACACATAATAAGGAAAGAGGGTTTGGAAAATTTGATACTCACAGGATAAATTGAAAGTAAGAGGGACAGAGGAAAACAACACATAACCTCCCTATAAAGCTTGAGTAAGTAGATAGTGGGACAATTTTTAGGAGAGAAAACAAAAAGACAAAAATTATTAAGAGCTACAAAGGACAGGAAGCTGTGGCAAGCCATGATCACCAATGCTCTTAAGGGAGACACCACAGAGAAGAAAAAAAAACAGATGTAACTAATAAAACATGAAATAAAGAAATAGATCAGAAAAGAAAACCAATTGTTTGTCTACCATAATAATCACTGAAAATTTCTTTTTAAATGACAATCATGATTTTTTTTTTTAATAATAAAATGGTAACTCTATTTACACTGATAAATTCATTTTAAGAATCCAGAAATTTTTATTTTTTCAAATCTAGTCAAAACTATACTTGAATTATATGAGAATAATGATAAAACTGATGTTACCAATATTGTCAGCATGTAATTCTTCTTTTTGGGCTTTCTTAAGCAGAGCAATTTTCTGAGAAAACATATTTTGCAATGCCGCCACTTCATCTTGCCGACTTTCTTTCTCTTTTTGTAACTGTTGCTGCAATTCCTAGAAAATAATCCAAAACATTATTTTAACAAACATATTCACGTCCTGAGGAAACAGTTAATATTGTTCTATTTTGCTTACTTCAATACAAAACAAATTCTTTTTAATAATGATTAAAGAATATATTCTTGTTGAATTTTTGGGATGAGAAGTTATCATTGTTTACACCATGTACATTTGGACTATTGTCCTCATCTTTGTTGTCAGCAAATAGAAAGATGAGGACAATAATCCAAATGTAAATAGTGTAAATAATGATTAAAGGATATTTTTAGACATTAATCTTTTTATTTATTTTCATTTTTCATCACAACATTTTATTTGATACAGTCTTTTGGAACTTCAGATTTCATTTCATTTGTATGGATTCAAAGAAAAAAAATGTGTTGTGAAAATACTTAATCTAACAGAAACAATTATCAGATAATGGTTTTATATATAAATACATTTGAAAATCCAAAAAAAAATGAAATTTGTTTAAATTCCCTGATATAATTATTCAAATATGTAAAATGTTCAAGTCACATATGTAGAGATCAAAATTATAAATTTGTAAGCACCACAACAGGAAATCCTAAAAGCATTTTCAAACAATCTCTCAAGATTTTTAAGATTGTCTTCAAGAATAAACTGATGTAAAATTAAATGAAGCTGATTAATATATCTTTGTTGATGTAATAGTACTAGTAGAGGGATTTCCCTATTGTTTTTGTATCATCAGGTTGAGTTGTATTTAGCATTTTGATTCAAGGGAAGTTATCATTTCGCACTGCTCCCCAGGCTTTTGAACAGGAGTAGAAGGTTTATCCTTGTTTTTGGTTTTGGATTGAATTTCCAGTTCCTTCTAAAGTCTTATCATTCTCTTTCACTCCCAGTAACACTTGGCATCTTAGTGGCATTATGGCCTTGCTTGGGGTGAATTGATAAAAAAAATAAACTATTGATGGATAAATAGGGTTAATATAAATACTAATATTGCTAACAAAAAAAATATTTAAATAGATACAGAAAATAATGCAAATATAAAATTTTAGTCATTTCAAAAGGCTTAAGAAAAATGTACTAATTTTAATTTAAAAACTAAAAATATTTGTTCAGCTTAAAATTGCTTCTCTTTTACAATTTTTAATTACTGTATTTGACAGTGTATAAGACCCCCCCACCAATTTCAGCAGGGCAAATCAAGAAAAAATTAGAATTAGTAAAATTATTAGTAAATGGTACAGCTTAAGCTATATTTATGAGGTAAACAAGCCATGATTACAATTAAACAAAAAATAATAGGAAAAAAAACATGAGTCTATAAAAACTTTATTATATACAAAGATAAGAAAATAAAGCAATTATTACAATGGAGTAAAACAGTACAGTTACCATTAAAATTCAGTCAAAATATTTTCGTTTATATGATTTGTACAACCTATGTCTTGTAAACGTCTTAGTGGAATAATTAAGATATATAAATTCTGAGTGAATTTATACCAATGCAACCGGAATTTATCACAAAAATATTAATGAAACAAATATAATTTACAAATATATAATTTGAATTTATTGCATATAATTTTAGTGAAACAAAGTACTAATATTAAACGTGATGAAATTAATATAATAAATATTATCAATGATAACACTTTTAATCTGCATTTTAAATAACGACAATAGGTATATATAAGTTACTCTAAAGTCTAAGCTAATAGGAGTTGCCAGGTAGCTAATTTCAGCCGACTATCACAAATTTTAAACCTACATATGGCATATAAGACCCAGGGGAATTTTAAAAATATTTTTAGTAAAAAAAGTGCATCTTATATGCTGTCAAATATGGTAATATTTTTTAAATAAAAAAATAATCTACTTTTCCATTTTTTTATCAATTTCTATTTAAATCCTTAATAGATTAAAAATTTATGCATTGCTACAAAAATATGTATAAAATGCCATTTTTATTCATTAAGAAGATGAAGAAAAATAAAATTTATTCAGTGAAAAGATCATTGATAATTTTAAGCAGATACATTGATAATGTTATTAAATTTTATTTATTCATTTCAAGTATATAAATTGGTATATGTCAAATTAAACAAAAAATAATCCCTATAATTTGATTTTAACATTTAAGATGAGATTCAAAATACTGAAGCATTTACATCCCCAAAACATTATAATAATGTTTGTAAATATTATTTTACACACTTAATTCACATTGACAGTGTTTATTATTATTTTTATTATTCCTTTTATTCCTCAGTTCTCAGATTTTTCATTTCAGGCTGTTATCCATTACACCACCCACACATCCAAGCTTACAGCACCTGGTATTTCCGAGCTGTCACCCTGTCACCCATCTAGATACTGACCAGGCAAGAACCAATGATTCAATGTGATATGGCCATAAATTGTTATTTTTACTTTCAATAAAAATATATATATATATATTTCAATTTATATACAAAGCACATTTAACATTGCAGATGTTTTTTTCTTCTTATGTAAGAAGCATTTAATTTTTAAAAATTTAAAATAAATAAGTATGAAAGGTGAGCTTTTTGAAAAGATAATCAAAGGGAAGAGGTATAAATATTTTAAATGAGAGAAATGTAAAAGAGGGAATCAAAATTTAGAACTGTTACTTACATTATTACAAGTTTGTAATTCAGCAATATTTGCCAGCAATTGAGAAGATTCATTTCCCTCGGAGCCCTAAATACAAACAAAAAGAAATAAAAACAACAATATGTTTATTTAATTGAAGTCATTATTTAATTAACTCAAACATTTTTTTTTTTTACTTGTCTTCTTAGAAAGAAAAGAAAAAAAGAAACTAGTATATAAGGCCTCTGATCGGGAGGTTTTGAGGAGTGTGGAACCACTTCTTAATTGCTGGTGTTCCAGGGTGGTAGCACCTGTTAGGATCCCAGCTATGGAAAAATAGTTAACCCTCAAACAGGGGTCAAAACACTATGAAAGTATAAAAATACATTTTTATAGTAATATTACCAGCAATACATTTTTGGAAAAAAAAAATTACCAGCAATGAATACATATTCTATTTATACGAACCTATCCTAAAAATCTTGTTGGCATTAGATAACCCATTGAGGATGATATGTCATAAAACAAAATAAACCAAATTAAAAAAAAAAACAAGCTATTAAATAAATGCTATGACAGTCATTTTCTAGAGATCGGCTTTCTAAGAAATAATTCAAATAGTAAGTTAACAGCTTATCAGTTAGTTTTCAAAAAAAAGAAAATTTTAAAAATTTGCAAAAAAAGTTATTTTTTATCAGTATCTGAGCAACCAGCCTATTTATGCGTATACAAAGCCTATACTCTACCAAATCCTTAACTCCTAAGATAAATAGTCTTGCAAGATAATCATGCGGATATCTGTGTAGTCTAAAAGTTAATAAAAAAATCGAATTGGTATGCAGAGTTCAAATTCCAGTCAAGTTCATTGCATCCATTTTTGCACAAAGACCATTGGGAAAGGTATGAATCCATCTCTTCTTGCTCAAACTATAGATTAAATATCAAGAGAGACTGGACTTTCTAGCTTTGAGTGACGACCAGTCAAAACTGGTTGAATATGGGGCTAGCCATTTTGCTCCATAAAAAACCAACTTGCTACAAAATCTCTAACAGCAACACATAGCATGATGAAGCTACAAACCTATACTCAAAAGAAAAGTCTAATAACACCGAGGAAGGATATTCATAAATTGACAGAATAGCCTGGCTGAGAATAAAAAAGTGGGAATGACACATTTTACATTTGATGAATATCATAAATATTGATAACAATAATGATTCAAAATCGTCTTTGACGTTATCATCAACTTTTATTTTTCTCCCAAATTATATTGCCCGACACGGCTTAAAAGAACATAGCTTTAACATTGTTACAGGTTAAAATCTATTGACAAAAAGAATATTTGGAGTAAGGGCAGAACTGGGATATCAGTAAAAAAAAGTTTTCTTGCAAAATAGCCCAGATGCCTTATAAAATAGTAATCATAGTTATCAAACATACAATAAAACCAAAAAGCTGATTAAGCTCATTAATGAAAAAATAAAATAAAGCAAGACAAAGTTCCTTTCTCATCTTTTACCAAAATTTGTTTCCACAAATTTAAATCTTGATTTTTTTTTTTTATCATCATTTCACACGAAGCAAGGCAATAATGCCACTAAGACACCAGGGGTTACTGAGAGTGAAAGAAAATGAGACTTTCATAAGGATAAAGGACAATAAAAGAACAGTGTTAAGGAAGACAGAAGATGACATTTGATGTTGCATTTAAATTTTTAAAGATCATACATGGCAGGGAAGTCAGAAACTGGAACAAAATTCCAAAAGCAAGAAGTGTGAGAAAAAGAAACTATTAGTATATAACTTACTGTTATATCTCACTATTTCAACAGTAAAATCGCCAATCTAGTAGCACACTTAAATTTATGCATTCACGGTACCAAGGAGGAGAGCTCATTAGAACAATTGCCATGAAAATATTTATAGAAAAGACAGAGGAAAGCTAGATCATGGCAATGGGAAAGTGACTGAAGTCAATATGCTAGGACAGGACCAATAATATTACAGAGCCTTCTTTGGATTTTGTCTAAAATCTCAAGATATATTACAGGAGATCAACACCAGGTATGGCAGCAATATTCATCCATTCAGTGAATATTACTGCTATATTGAGTCTGGAGCTCCTGAAATTCTCAACAAAATCCAAAGAAGACTCTGCAATGTTATCAGTCCTGACATCTTGATTTCAGTCACTCTCCCACCACCATGTATATAGGTTTCCTCTGTCTTTTCTATAAATATTTTCATCGCAATTGTTCTGAGGGGCTCTACTCCTAGGTACCTCGAATGCATCAATATTTAAATTCACTGTCGCAACTAACCAAAATAAGTTACTGTCCCAAGTCTAATAATCTATGTTAAAAGTTTTAGCTTGAATGTATTTATAGATATTCCCTTTAACACGAGATATGAGAGTTTATACATAGGGATGAGTAAATATTCTATTGTATTTATTTTCTTCATGATTATGTTTTTCACATTTTAGAGATTTTCACAAAAGATGCATTATAGAGAAAAACTCTAAGTAAAATTAATAATTCCTAAAACTTGATAATTATAAAAAAAAAAAATAAATTATAAAGACTAATGTTAAATGTGACTGCATTATAAAATTAAAGTTGAAAATTGTTTTCTTTTTAATTTAAAAGAAAGAAATAAAAATTAAACTGATTTAGTTTTCAAGTCATCATCACATACCCATTACAAGATTCAGGTGAAAATTACTGTAAAAAGACAAAGATCTATATAAAGCAAATAAAGGTTAAGATGCATTTTTTTTTAATAAGATTCCTCATTTCCATACAATTTTTTTTTAATTAAAACTATTGAAAAAGAATTCTGGCAAAATATTTAAATTTCAATAACCAAAAATCAGAAAACATTATATATTAAAATTTTTAATATTTAGTCCCAAAATTTTTAAAAATAACTACTACTCTCTTGCATTTTTTAACACTGATTCCTTAAATGTAAACTGTATATTTTTCACTTGTCCATCTCTCCCCACTTTTTTAATGACCCAATGCAAATTTGATACTATCTTAGGATGATGTAATATCTACAACTGTTTTCAAATAAATATGAATTGAAATATAATTCCTAAATGCATATGTTGAAATAGTAAAATATGTTTTTTTCTAATATGAAAAGAAATTACCATTTTTTTTTTATCAATAAACAGTGTTCTTTTTATAAATAAAAAAAAGCAAAAAGCTTAACAAATAGGATACAATACCTGTTATCTTATCTCATATCATAAATCCTTGCTACAGCCATAAACTGATATTATCATTTCTAGGCAACCATGGATTAATGGGAAATCAGCAGGAGTTGAGTTTAACACAGCCAAACCTACTGCTATGAGGAGGGGTGCTGAAATGTTCTCAACCTAACCCACTTCCTAAAAGTCTGATGAAATGACCAAAAATCAGAATTTGGCAGGGGGGATGCTTCTTGGTCAATGCAACAAAACTTTTCAGGATCCTCTCATATTTCTTCTTTTTGACAGAAGAACCATCATTAACACTGTACAAATCCTATTCAAGTTTTGAGAGTGTGCCCAGATTTAAAACATACATACAAACTTATCTATATCAGTAAGGAGGTATTTATTTAATGATAAAACAAATTAGTTCATTGCTCTGAAGGGCTGTTAGTAAATGACAGGAATAAGTTTAAACAATAAACCTTTTACCTACAATATAATGCTTATCAAATTTTCTTTATTCAATTTAAAAGATTTAAATGAAACCCATTTCCTTTTTTCAATGCAATATATCAAATGGCACAAAGCAACAGTTATTCACATTATTAAAAGTTCAATAAATTTGATGACTGAAGCATGTTTTTAGCTTTTAGTTCATTGAGTTAAAAATTTAAGAAATTCATTCTGAAAATTTACAAAATGTTATATGAACAAAATAAATAAATATTAAATCAAACTACACAATAATGCTTTGAATTTTTACTATCTCAAAAAGCTGGAGAAATAAACTTGGTCAGCAAAGAAGTTGATTTCTAGTCACTGTAAAAACTAGTACAGCTACCATAATGAAAGCATAAATTTACATCCAATGAGAAGTACAAACGTATGAAATTACAAACATGAATAGAGTTTGTTTAAACTAAGAGATAAAACATGCTTCCATGTAAATTCTCTACCCAAAAACATTTGCTGAGTAAATATTATCTTCTAAATTAATCATGATAAAATTCATAAATTCCTTGTATAAATAGTCCATCAGTTCCTAAGAATAAAATATAAATAAATAAATAATAAAAATAAAAATCAATCATAAAGATTGTATTTTTAACTAAAATCTGGCATCCCTAAAGCAAAATAACACCATGTTTGGAAAAATTAAGAACTTTTACTTGTAGGGTAGGAGGGAAATATTGTTGAGGTGACCTTGAAAAGGTCAAAAGAACACAAACTAAGAAAAAGTGAGAGAATACCTGATATACTAATAAAAATTCAAACTTATCAATTACATCAGTACAAATCATTTTGATGTTTAAAATAAAATAAAATAAAATATGTGAAATACTTTTAGTTTGAGAGTCAAAATGTTTTTTTCATATTGATAATATTGTAAATAGAGACCTTCCATAGATATAGTTAACATCTTCAGATTATCAAGATTCTTGATAAAAAAAAATTAAAAAAATTAAATCTCCAGATGTTTTCTTCTCACCTCTTTTCATAAATAAGATTTTTCCTTCAAACACACTTTACATTATAATCTTTTCTCACAAGATCTTATCAAAAGATACGAAAACTTTTCCATCAACAGATAAAGTTAGTTTTCTGATGGTGGCTTCTTACCAATTTCTTACCTGCAATAAATGTATCAACATTAATACATTCCACCCTCTTCATTGTCTACCTTTGAATAAAGCTACTTACTCTGAAGCATACAACAATTTCTATAAACTACTATTGCTATGAAGAGTTTTTATGACTCACCTTTGTTTTTTTTTTAATATTCTAAAGTAAGCTCAATTCAATTTTAAATTTGATATTTCTTTTAAAGTTATCAATTCACAAAATAAAACTTACTTTTTCCTTCTTTAAAGATTGGATAAATTACTAATTTCATTATTGCAA